GTTGGGCCATGAGGGTGAGCCAGAAGATGGGGGGGGGGGCGCAGGAGGGACAAGGGTGAGCAAAGAAGAATGGGTTGGGGGGAGCGGCTGGCGGAGGAGAAAGGAGGGGGGGGGAAGGAGCGGAGGACGAGGATGGGGAGGATGGGGCGTGGGGGAGGGGGCGGGGGGTCGCACGTAGTCTCATCCTGCAGCGTCGTCCCTACCCCATCCACCCCCGTTCCTCCTATCCGCGCTGACCATCTTCGGCCTACCCCTGCACCTCCTATCCCGTGGCCTCCTGACCCCGCAACTCCTCTCCATCGCTCTCGTCGGCATCCTAACCCCGCAACTCCTCAGACTCACACTTGCCGCTGCCCCGGGTGCCGCGAGTTGTGGCTCGCGGCGAAGCCGTCGTACGCGCGCTCCAGCAAGGTGACGCGGCGGGCGGGCGCCTTCAGCTGCGGGGGCCGGGGGCGACCCTGCCCCGATCGCCGCTGCGGCAGCGCGCCAAAAGCGGCGGCCGCCGCCTCGCCCGCCGCGTCGGCCGCCGCCTCGCCCGCCGAATCGGCCGCGGGCGCCCCGGCGGCCCCTCCAGGGAGGGCGCCGAACCACGGCAGGGCACCACCCGCCGCGGCGATGTCGAAAATCGACATCTCGGGCCAGGGAAAGACCCGAGCGGGGAGTGACGGGGGGTGGAGGAAAGAGCAGAGACAGGAAACCGAAGCGGGAAAAGAAGGGGATGCAGACGACGACGGAGGAGGAGGGCGGCAAGAGGAGGAGGAGTGCAAGGCTGCGTTCACCTCCCTCCCTGCCCATCCAACGCCCCCTCCGTCTCCGCTCCCTCCCTCCACCGCGTGAGTCGCGCCTCTGCTTCCCGTCGCCCCCCCTCCGTCCGCCCTCTTCCTCCTCCTGCCGCCACTCCCTTGAGTTATCCCCCAAGAGGAGGAGAGAAAAAGGGGGGGGGGCGGAATGAGGAAGGCAACGAATGGACGGTCTGAATCTGGGCCGCGCGCGCACAGGTGTGACCAGGAGAAAGAGGAGGGCGGGATAGAAGACGAGGAGTATAATGATGAAAACTAAGAGGACAGCGATGTAGGACCCTTTGTGGGATAGAAGACGAGGAGTATAAGACAGAAAAGCCCAAACGGTGGGGTGTGGTGCGTGTTGTTCTCCTAAAGCGATGGGAATATTCGGCGTACATGATAATAATTTTCGGTGTGCGATAATTGTTTTCGGCTTGCGCGTAATAATATTACGTTTCAATATATTATGTTTGGATTATTGGTCTGGGTTCATTTTGAATATATTGGGCATATGTGGGGGGCAATTACTCGGGGTGTTCTTCGGTAGCCTGTTCACTACCGTTGGTCGGAGACCCTCAAGGAATTGGGCAGGATGACTAGACCCCAGAAAATATGGGAAAATAGGGGGAATCCTTGTATTTGTGTGTGTATTTATTGGTGTGTTCCAGGGCCCCTTCAATAATCTCGAGCACCCAGAAAAGTGTCGAAAAAAAAGGGGTCGAGACAGTGTCGGGCGAGTGCCTCCTGGGGCCCGACGCGCGAGAGCCCTCGAGGTTCGCTTCTTTCTCGGTGCTCGAAACTCTTTCTCGTGGTCCAGGCGAAAGTAGGCTGGAACACTCTAGCTCTGCGCGTCCTCTCGAAAACCCCCGCACCGCCCCGCCCCCACCCCCCCCTGGAGAACAGCAGCGCCCTGGCCCAGGTCGCGACCCGCGAAGCGCGAGTAGCTTTGCGCTCCCGCGGGTGGCCTACCACGCTCCGTGGACGAATCGTCCAGTCGAGAGAAGCCCCCGGACAACCCCCCCGGGACAACCCTGACAACCCGTGCTGCGGAATAATGGCAAGACGACCTACCCTGGACAACCCCTTGGGTCACGCAGCGGGGACCTGGACAACCCCACCGGACAGCCGCCTTGGACAAGCCTCCCCAGGAGTGTTTCCCGAGTTAACCTCAGGAAGCCGTTAAGGACCCCCCCCCAGGGTTATCATTAACACCGCACCGTAATTGAATAATGGGGAATGTTCGCCGAACGATATAAATAGCACCGCGCAAGTGGAAGGAACAAAAAATCACTCCCGCGCCCTGGCTCGGGTGGTATCCCAATTGGAATTGGAACAATAATAGTAATGACTATAATAATACGAATTGTAATAATAATGATAATATTGATGATAATACTGATAATAATAATCATAACAAAATAATATTGTCTGAGGATGTCTCAGGCGAGGCGCTTGTTTCAGAACCACACGGAGACCAGATTTGCGAGAATGTCTCAGGCGGTTTGCTTGTTTCGGCGGGCAGACTCGTCTGCGTTCAAAGCAGGTTGCGAGGTGCCAGGGTAACGCTTCCAGGGTGCCAAATGCGTTATACTTTCGCCAGAAGGGGGGTCTTAATTGCTTACTCGCGTTAGGCTTGCCCAAGGGGCTCTAACTTGGTTAAAGCTTGGTCCCTCGTATTCATACGTTGCCCATTGCTCGGAGGTTCCCCTGGTTCCCTGGGTTCCCCTTGTTCCCCGCCCCCGGTGCCTCTCATTGTTACTCTGCCGGTTCCCCGGGGGTTCCCCGCCCCCGGTGCCTCATGCCAAGCAATGCTAAGCAATGCGAAGCAATGCGAAGCAATGTGAAGCAATGCGAAGCAATGCGAAGCAATGCGACGCCATGCCAAGCAATGCCCAGCACTGCGCCCATGAAACAGGAAGCTTTCCCCTACTTGGGGTCGCGCCGGGCTCATCTTCCACAAGACAAAATAGATCATCTATCAACCTTGGCGCCCTCGCGCTCCCGCACCGCCTCCCACTGGAGAAGGGCGGCGCCCTGGCCGGGCCCAGGATCCGACGCGCGATGCGCAACCACCCCCGAGGCCCCGCATGTGACCCGGAGGCAGAGGCGCTGAGAGCACCCCGGAAACCAGAGGGGATGACCTCACCGGGGGAGGAGGAGGAATGGGAGGAGGAGGAGGCGGAGGAAGAGGAGGAGGAGGAGGAGGAGGAGGAGGAGGAGGAAGTGGAGGAGGAGGAGGAGGAGGAGGAGGAGGAGGAGGAGGAGGAGGAGGAGGGGGAGGAGGGGGAGGAGCTACCCCGCTCGCAATCGGGGAGGACGGGACACTCTCACCTTGCCTCGAGGCCGTGTTTACATCCGAGCCCCACGCCCAGCCTACCACAGCCCCAGCACACCCAGCTTCACTCGGCATGTACCACCAAGGCCAAGGATGGATGGAGCCGGCTAGATGATCGTTCTGAGGACTTTCCTGGAGCCAGTCGCTCCACTCAAGCGTAGATGCTGCGTCGAACGTACGTCGACTTGAATCGAACTTGAGCCGATCTAGAGGAAAAGTAGAGTCAAGTAGAACCGTCAATTAGGTTGGTCCCAGGAAGGTCCCAATCTAGCATCGAAAAGCAGAGGCATGGGAGAGGAGGATAAGATCAAGAGGAGAGGAGAAGGGTCCCACGAAGGCCCCGAGCCCCCAAGAAACCCACTGAGGCCTCCGAGACAGCTGCAAGGTCAAGTGGAGGAGAAAAGGAGAGGAGGAGGAGGAGGAGGAGGAGGAGGAGGAGGAGGAGGAGGAGAAGGAGGAGGAGGAGGAGTAGGAGTAGGAGGAGGAGGAGGAGGAGGAGAAGGAGGAGGAGGAGGAGGAGGAGGAAGGGGAGGAAGCGGAACATCTATGGCAATTTGGGTAGGCTTTCCCGCGTTCCCAGCTGTACTTCGCACAAACTCTGCCCCCTTGCGTGGCTGAGGGGGGTAGCTGGCTTGGGCTGGAAGAAGCGCATGATCTGCTTGAGTTGCTCATCCTGCAGCTCACCAGGCGGGACGCGCAGAATCGCGCGCTGCTTGCCCTTGTAGAGCTCCACCTGGATGGGGGCATGTGGAAATTAAATGCTCGTCTGCGGGCGGTAGTATTGCTACCAGCATGCCTCCGACGGTAACATGGCATGAGCAACAACAATGGGCAAAGGAGGGTGGTAGCGTAGAGGTGGGGCATGCAGAGGTAGTGAGGCTGTGGCAGGGCAAGGTGGACGTCGTAAAGGGAACGGGTGCAAAGGGTAGTGTTAGTGGTCATCGTGATGGTAGCCTAGGTCACCTAATTTCGCGCATCGCGCCCCGCGATGTGCGACGCGCAGTTTTCTTCGCGCCCCCCTCGAGGCCTAGCACACTCGCGCCGCCGCTCTCTGGAGAAGGGAAATCGCTCCGTCCCAGACCGCGACGCGCGAAGCACGACCACCTCCGCGCCCCCGCGGGTGACCTGGGTAGTGCTAGTGCTGCGGCCACAACAGCCGTCGAGGTGATCGCTCCAAGGTGATGGCTCCAAGGCGTGTAGAGGTATAGTGAGGCTGTGGCAGGGAAGGTGGACGTGGCAAAGGGAATGAGTGCACAGGGTAGCAGCAGTGGCTAGCGTGATGGTAGCGCCAGCGATGCTCTTTCGCCGCAGAAGCCGTCGAGGTGATCGCCCCGAGGCCACCGGTGGGCACCAGCACGGCGGCGCAGAGCGCCAAAGAGCGGCGCGGGCAGAGGCCGACACGCTGGCGCAGGTCGCGCAGGATGCGGCCCGCGCCGCTGCCTGCCCTCGCGTGCGGAGCGCAGCGCACGCACGTACAGTCGGGCTGCCGAAATAAGGAACGCTAAATAAGGAACGAAGCCCCTCTGCGGCTTCAAAAAAGCCGGGGTGCACGAGAAGGGCTAGAGGAGCAACCGCGGAAGGACGTAAGGAACATCGAGCCCCTTCCGAGTCCAAACTGTTCCTTATTTCAGCGTCTTGGCTGTACACGAGGAACGAGGCCCCTTTTTCCCATGAGTTAAACTCCGATGTTCCATGGAAGCCCTGAGGAAAACCCAAGGAGCACTGTAAAACAACTAAGGAGTACGGAGCCCCTCCGAAACGAAAAGGGTTCCTTCTCTAGGGCTCCCAACTTCGCGCTTCGCGCTCCGCGAAGCGCGAATAACTTCGCGCTCTCGCGCCGCCCCCCCAAAGGGAGAAACGGAGGACGAGGAGGAGGGGGAGAAGGAACGAGGACCGCGAAGCGCGAACAACTTCGCGCCCCCGAGGGAGCCCTTGGCCTTGCGCATGGCAGGAGAGCGGCCCCGTCGGAACCACCCGGAGGACTGCCTGATCGTCGTGCGGGCTGCCAGGCTGCGAAAGACCAGCAGCCTCGGGCAGGCCGTTCCAGGCAACCCGTAGACTAAGGACGCACGGTAAGGACGCAAGGGCCTCGGAGGGCCATGCCAATCTTTTGCGAGCGGGGCGCGGCCAGCGAAGGCGGTCAAGTATGGCCCGAAGGGGAAGGATGCAAAGGTAACCTTGCAAGATTGCCAATCCTTACTCTGCGGGTTGACTGTGGTGGGAGCCTCAGCAGGCTCAGGGAGATGATCGCGATCTGGGATGATCTGGAGGATCGCCTCCAGCACCCAGGTCACCGAACTTCGCGCATCGCGGGGCGCGATGCGCGACGCGCAGTTATCTTCGCGCCCTCGCACCCCCGCGGCACCCCCATTTGACAGGGGCAGCCGCTCTGGCCCAGGCCGCGACGCGCGAAGCGCCATCTTCGCGCCTCTGGGGGTGGCCTAGCGTACTGCTGTCTCGCGCCACACAGCAGCCACTGCCGCAATCATCTTCGCACCCCCGCGTGTGACCTGGCCTCCAGTACTGGAGGAAGAAAAACAGCAGAAGCATGATTTCTCTGAGGTCCGCACGGATTTCTTGGATCGGCGCTGGACCCCCTCCCTGGCGCGCGGAGCGCGCCAACGCCGATCCAAGAAGTCCGCGCGGACCTCCGACAAATTATGTTTGTGCCGAAGGTCTTTCTCGAAGCACTGTCGTCTCGCGCCTCAAACTGATCACCTGCCGCAGCAGCAGCAGCGAAGCCTGCCGCAGCCGCGGCCGCCAACGCAAGCGCGCGGCGGCCCCGCGGCCTCGTCTCCACGGCGGAGGTTGCCAATCGTGGGACGCCCACTGCCGTGCAGAGGGAGAAAAAACGGAAGCTGATGCAATTAGAAGGAGACACAACGGCAGAAACTTACACTTTCGACGGTCCGTGCGGATTTCTTGGATCTGCGCTGGACCAGGAGGCGGGCAGCAAGACGAGAACATGGTCAAACATTGCTGCAAAATGGGATCCGCGGTATTCACTGATGCCTCCAGGGAGACCTGGGTGTATCATCAATAAGGTGTCCACGAAGCATGCCATCATTTTGCAGGAGACTGGGCAGCATTTGAATCTGACTTCGCACGGAGGAAGGCTATGTGACAAGGGCTCCCCACTTCGCGCTTCGCGCTGCGCGAAGCACGAAGTGCGAACAACTTCGCGCTCTCGCGCCGCCTCCCAGGGGAGAAGAGGGGGATGCGGAGGAATCGGAGCCGAACCGCGAAGCGCGCAAAACTTCGCGCCCTCGAGGGCGCCCTTGTTGTTGGGGTCGAGTCTCAGGCATCGAACGAGCATCGGGCCAAATTGCCTACGGTGCAGCATCGAAGAGGATCGACGAGGGGCCCTGAGGAGGATGAGTGAAACACCCAGAAGGGTGGCCTCGATGGGGTATCTCGTGGTCGTGGTCGTGGCCCTGGTCGTCTTTGCGGAGGAAGGATATGTGAGGGCTGCGGCCCACGCGCCTTGCCCCCTTGCGGGTCGGCCTCCTCGGTCAGCCCCGGCGCGCCTCGCCTCGCCTCGCCTCGCGGGCAGTCCGCCGGCACACGGGCTTGTCCGAGCGAATTCTGCGGGCGGGCTCTTCGCAGACCGTGGGCCGCACCAACGAAGGTGGGAGGCAAGGCCTGCCATGGCTGCAAGATCGGCGGCATGACTGCCGACACTCTCCCAGCGCTGACTAGTCGACGGCTCTGGGATGTCTTCTGCGTGAGCTTTTACAAGGTGCGGGGAACGCGCGAGTAGGCTCGTGCCAACAAACCCGTAGATGTATACAACTGTGTACGCCCGTATACACACATACACATATACATATACATATACAGATATATAGAGAGAGAGAGAGAGAAAGAGAGAACGACAGAGAGTGAGAGAGACAGATAATACATATGTATGGTTTATCAAAAGTACGGGGCGAATATCACGAAACATCATAAGAAGAGGGACAATCATAGAGGCGGAGGCGAGGGGAACGAAGACGGGGAACACCTGTGGGAACAAACAAATGCAGGCCGACTGCCCACCCAGACGTGAACCCCGCAAATCTGGAGGGATCGTGATTCGCATGGATTCGGCCGCTGCCTGCCGTTTGGCTGCCAAACCTGTGAGTCCCGTGCAGTACCACCCCTTCAACGTGATGCTCTGCTCGTCTGCGCGCCCCTCCCCCCCTTGCATCGAAACTTTACGAGGCAAAACGCAAGCGCCAACACAACCTTGCATACGTATGTATACGGTGTATCCGCCATCGTGCCCTCGAGGCGCGAGCTGGAGTGTCTTCAGGTCCCCCTTGCCCGCGATCCCCTGGGAGCCTCAGTCCTCAATCCCGAGGGTTCTGTGCGGGCCCAGACCCCAAAGTCCCAGATCTCTTGGGGGCTGGGCGCGTGGCTCCTGGGGTGCGTCGCGTCTGCTCGCGCGATTTCTTCGGGCAGAGCAGGGCCCCAAGACGGGCCAAGATGGCCCGAAGAGGCCTCCCAGGACAGTCCACGAGGGCCCCGAGGTCGCCGAAAGATCGCTCCAGTACGCCCAAGACGGTCCCAAGACGGCCCAAGATGCCCAAAGAGTCTCCAAGAGGGCTCCAAGAGGCAAGCATCGCTGATATTCCTCAGGTGTCTGAAGGATTTGGGCGGTCTCGCCTTTTCGGCGTCCCAACGCTTCCAAGCCGGCTCGGGACGCCCACGAGATCACCCCGAGAGGCCTCCAAAAGAGCCCCCAAAACGGCCCAAGAGGCCTCCAAGACGGCCCAAGAGGCAAGAGGGAGCCCTGACGGAGGATCCGAACGGACAGTTCGAGCCCTCGGCCGAGAGGCCCCCAGGAGGCCCTAGGAGGTCCAGGAGGGCCCAGGAGGCCTCCAAGAGGCTCCCAAGAGGCTCCCAAGAAGCTCCCAAGAGGCCCCCAGGAGGCCTCCAAGAGGCCGCCAAGAGGCTCCCAAGAGGCTCCCAAGAGGCCGCCAAGAGGCTCCCAAGAGGCTACCAAGAGGCTCCCAAGAGGCCCCAAAACTGCCCCCAAGAGGCCCCCGAGAGCGCTCCAAAGAGACCCCGAGAAGCATCCCTAAGGACTCTAACCCACAATCCAAGCACGGTGAACGATATCTCTCTCTCTCTCTGTATATTTGTATAAACGCATACACACATCAGAACCACGCGCGAGCTACGCGCGTGCTTAGGTTCTAGCCGACTGAATAGTCGTTGTCAATGGACCATGCGCTGATCCACGAAACCAAAATACCCAAGGAAAGGTTCCCCAGGCAAGGGCCGCCCTTGCGTGGAAGTGCTGGGCGTTCTGGGGGGGTTAGTGTTCGGTGGGCGGTCGCGGAGCCGTGCGATGATCAACGTGCGACGCGTCGAAAGTTCTGAATGATTCCCAGACTGCGCAAGTGCCGTGACTGCCACGGTGGCCGAGGAGGGCCCCAGAAACTCTGGGTCGCCAGGCCGTCGCCGTCGCCGCCGCCGCCGCCGTCGCGATGATCGTCGCGGTGGTCGTCGTAATGGTCGTGGTGGTGGTGGAGGTGGTGAGCAATGCCCGACCCAGACATGCTCGCGTCGTGGCGAAATCAGGGCGGGAGGTATGTGGCCGTTTTCGGCACCTGGGGGCCCTGGCCGTGTCCCTGGACCCTCAAAGAGCGGCCCAGGATGAAACGCTGGCCCTGGGGAAAGTCGGGATTCCCAGGGACCCAGTATTGAAAAAATCAGGACGTAACATGTCTGGGCGTTGTCGCCCGATTTCGAGGGTCGGGACCCTGGCAGATCAATCCAGCTCGAAAAATGGCGCAGAAAGATGGGGTCAAGAGCTCCGTTTGCAATTTTTTTCGCGATGGTGTTGATGGGGTCGGAGGATGGCGCCGCATCGCCAATGCATTTCAAATGCATCGGCGATGCGTCGGCGACGTCGGCGATGCATCGGCGCCGTCGGCGTGGAGAACATTTGGACGCACGTCGAGCCGCATCGGCGATGTTTCGACGGTGCTGCGCGATCCTCCGACCCCATCTATTATTGTTCGTCCCACGACCCAGATCTTGGACGACCCTGCGATCTGGGCGTCGCATTTGTTTCACACTGTGCGTTTCCGCCCAGCCTCGGGGCTCGGGACCAACACGGGTCGATCCGGCTCAAGAGATGGTGCAGAAAGATGGGGTCTGAGGCTCCAGTCGTCATTTTTCGTGAAAGTTCGCTGCAACGTCGGATCTACGGGTTATTGTGTGACCGTTTTTTTTCTTTCCCGGGCAACGGTCGTTACCCAGGGGGCTTTCGGGCGGGAGGGTAAAGGTAACGGCGGCCGCGGCGTACACCCGTCAGGGTGCGTCCGCGCCATCGGCGCACCAATCGCCTGTGCACCCCCAGCATGTGGGGGGGGTGTTCGAGGCCACCTCCCCTCAGTGGCGGAGCCCCCACAAAACCTAAACCCCCGCGGCGGCTGGCATGGACCATGACCAAGGCCGCATAAACAAATACCGCGACATCCTGGCCATGGTTTCCGTGTTTCTTGCCTCGTCTATGGGCCCTATTTGGGAGGCTCGGAGATTGCGAGCTCGGACCGAGGCGCTGCCCTCTGCAAGGTCACTCTGGGGCCTCGCAAGGGGCCAGGGAACATGAGTGCCGCCTCCATCGACAAGAGGAAGAATAGGAGGCCCAGGAAGAGGGGAATCGGGTTGAGGCAGGAGGCGGGGGACGAGAAGGGATAACGAAGCCCTACTCAGCTGCTGCTCCTCCCTCCCGTCTTCCCTTGGTTCTCCCTTTCTGTTCCTCCTGACTCTCCGCTTTCGTCATTCCCTGACTCCTACCTTCGGCTGTTCGTGGTCCATTGGTTCCGTCTCTCCTTCTCCTCCCCGAGCGCCCTGCCCCCCCGCGGATGTGGGCCATCCCGGGCCGTCCCTGGCACCGCTGTCCCGGGTCTGCAAGAAACTCCCAGGAGGGCTTCAAGACGGCTCAGGACGCCCTCGAGAGAACCGACGAGGACCACAAGGCTTCCAACGACGATCCCCGATGGACCTGGACGCCAGGACCACGAAGAGGCCTACAAAAGCCACCGCGACAGGCTCAAACAGGCAAGGAGCCTCCAAAGGGGCGCCAAGGGAGCTACCACAGCGCCCCCCGAGCCCCAACAATTCATCACACATTCAACACAACACCGTCCTTGACGAGGAAGAGGTTGGTGTTAAACTTGTGTGTTAAATCTAAGGGCCCTCTTCGGGCCGTCTCGGAGCTCTCTTGAGGTGTCGTGGGCACGTCTAGGGCCGTCTAAGGGTTCTCTTGGGCCGTCTTGGGATTCTCGTTGAGGCCTCTTGGGCCATCTCGGGGCGGTCTTAGGGGCCTCTTGAGACGTCGTGGAGCGCCGGAAGCTCGAAAAGTCGAGACCTTCGAAACCACATTACAACCCAACGAAAATCACTTGTTTTTGCCTCTTGCGGCCATCTGGGGAGCGCTGGCAAGAGAGCCCCAAGACGGCCCCAAGAGGGGGGACCCGAACCGAAAATCCGAGCCTGCTGCTACACGAGGCGCCCAGGAGGCTCCATGAGGTCCCCGAGAGGCCCAAAAGAGGCCCCAAGAGGCCCCAAAACAGCCCCCGAGTGGCCTCAAAACTGCGTCCAGGAGGCCCCCGAGAGGCCTCGACGAGATTCCATCGAGCATCTAAGAGGCATTAAACCAGCAACCAAGGCACGGTGGCGGGATGAGCCGAAGGCCATTAGACGTGATGTGTGTTGTGGGACACGCGGACCGCCACGTCCAGGCCCAAAGGATGTTGACGACCCGAGGAGAGGAGGGGAGTGAAACAAATGAGCAGGGCGTCCACCCGCATGGGCTGCACTTGCTTGTACTCCTTGACCTCCGTGGTGTCGTGACCCTGGGCCAGTAATTCAGGGGAGAGCTTTCAAGGAGGCACGACTGAAGAGGTCAAACTGGCCTCAGAGGAGGGGAGGAGGAAAGTGGAAGGAGGACACGAAAGGTCAAGAACATCTGGGGACCGACGGAACCGAGTCTCGGAAGCTGGGCGAGGGCTGCTAAAACCGTGGCTGCTAAAACGGCCCTCCCGGAAGGAAAAAACAACTTCCCGGAATGAGGCGCGGCACGCGATACAGTCAACGGGCTTCTTCCCGGAAGGACGAAGACAACTTCCCGGAGGTCGCTTTTGGCAGCCACGGATTTAGCAGCCGTTGCCCAGCTTCCGAGAGCCCGGACTTTCGAGATGACCTCGACAACGCCAAGACTTTCGAGATGACCTCGACAACGCCAAGACGACCTTCGTACAGCCTACCGCGACCTCCAGCGGCCCACGAAGCTCCAGACAGGACGACGGGGTCTCCGGCGCTCCAGGAGAGCCCCCGAGGCCGCGGCCACGTGCACCCAAGCCGTCCAGAGGTGGCAACGCGGCAACTCACGCGATCTGGGCATCCTTCCACCGGGCTTCACACTGCCTCTGACGGTGCTGTACTGCTCCTGGATGGCCTCCTCCTGAAGGCCCAGAAATCAAACCAGACCACACACACACACTCTCACACACACACACTGCCCCTGACAGTGCCGTACAGTGCGGGCGCGGCCGCAAGAGACCCTCGCAAGAAACCCAACCCTGAGAGCCCGTGCGCGAAGTGCACCCGAGGGGAAACCTGGAGCACCCTGAACGCAGCAGCTCCGTCAACGCCCGCGGGAAGTCACCGCGCAGCGCGAGAAGCGAAGAAACCCAGGATACCCTGACGAAAAGCAGATGGTTTCTTGATGCGCGCCCCCATTGTACTGCTCATGGATGGCCTCCTCCTGAAGGCCCAGAAATCAAACCAGACCATACACACACTCACACACACACACACACACTCACACACTCACACTCACACACAACACACACACACACACTTGTTCACCCCTCTAGCGAGGTGACTGCACCTTCGCGAATGAGAGCACTTGAAACACTAACTACCGCATGCTGAACAGACCGAACATTGTGAACGGAAAGCAAGCGTAAGTCCGCAAACTGGCGTGCACGAGGTGGACTGCAACTAACACTGTGAGTGAAGAGCAAGCGGTGGAACCATCTGCTGGCGTGCAGGAGGACTGCTTTGTAGTTCGGGTGTGGAAGACAGTACAGGACCACACACACACAACTGAACGAACCGCCAAGCCAATGCTGTTGAAAAGATGGGAGCGACGATCGCCACAAGAAGCTCCGCAATTACAACAGGCGAGCAAAACAGGTCGTATGCTCAGATACGGGCGGAGGTTGAGGACGGCCTCAACCTCGGCGCAGCTCAAAAGCCGGGCGGCACACACGTGCCCTTGTACCAAGCAGGCCATCTGCAAGTATAGCCAGCCAAAGGGCAGAGGCAAATCCAGTCAACTGTCCGGCCGAGACAAGCTGCAGGGATAACACTTCCTTCAAAACCGATGCAATTCTTTGCGCTTCCTTTGGTGGTGACACGATGACAAGCTCGGCAGCGCAATTGTGAAGCCCGTGAGCTACCTCAACTGCCCTGCACACGAGTGGACCCAAAGCGTCCAGCCACATGCACGGGCTGTCTTGCGAGAGAGGGTTTGGGAGGAAAGGATAGGAAGAGCGTGTTTTTGTTGCGCTTCTGCTGTGGCGCTCTTCTTGCCTGGATATGTCTTACGTTGCGGTACATCGACAAAATGTTGCACCACCTGGTGCCCAAGACAGCGGACACCGTTTTAAAATAAACACTTACGTCTGAGCCTCCCCCCCCACCCCGAGGGGAGTGGGGGGGGAACCAGGGTGTTGAAGTACACACTTCAGAGCTCGCCTACAGTACAGCGATGCATCATTTTATCGACGTGCGTTGGCTCTCCGAGTGCCCCGAGAGCACCTCTCGGCGCCTTCGCGGCTCCCTCCAAAGGATCTCCAGACGCCCCAAGGGGTCCCCCAGACGGTCCCCTGGAAGATCGACGCCTCGTCTTCATCTTGCTCCCGCTGCTCTTCCCTCCTCGTCCTCGTCCTCCTCCTCCTCCTCCTCCTCCTCCTTCTCCTCCTCATCTTCCTCTTCCTCCTCATGTGCCTCGTCCTCATCATCCTCCCTCCGTTCTCGCTCGTCCGTCCTGCTACATCTCCTCACCCTCCTCTCCCCTCGCTTCCTCGAGGCCTCCCAAGCGAGCCTACTACGCCGGTCCGCCCACGGGTGCTGCCACGGGTGCTGCCGGCCTCGGCACTTGGAATGAGATGCGCCTGAGTGCAAGCCGATGTCGTTCGCGGACACAAATGCTGCCGTACCATCAACACTGGGCTCGACTCATGCGTGCACTGACTCATCCCCTAGGTCAATTAAGTTCGCGCATCGCGCCCAGCGACGCGCGGCACGTTTATCTTCGCGCCCTCGCGCCGCCCCTGGGAGAAGAGCAACCACTCTGGCCCAGACGGCGACGCGCGACACGCGATTGTCTTCGTGCCCCCGCGGGTGACCTAGATTCCCTCCTCCTCCACCTCCTCAGTCTCCTCCTTCCCCGCCTCTTCTCTCCTCGCCACACGCCTGTGTTATATCCTGCATTGTCTCTGGACTCTCCCACTGGCCTTGCGGATCAAGTAGCGGTACTCCACGATGTGCCCCCTGTTGCAGTGGGAAGCAGCAACACTTGGTCAGTAGAGAAGAAACCGAGAAAGTGAGCTGGGTGCCTCAACCGGAGACGAAGCTTGTACCTGTCCTTCTGGGAAGTGCCTTGGGCGATGCTTCTAGCCTCCTGAGGCTGCCACGGGCATGGAAAAACCCCAGGCCAGGCTCGATGCAGTCTTCAGGCAATGCAGCCTGACCCGTCGTGCCGGACTGGTCGCCCAGGTTTGCCGGCGCGAGACACCTCTGCACGATGCCTTGTGCCAAGAAGGACGAAGAGGAGGAGGAGGAGGAGGACGAGGAGGACGAGGAGGTAGCGGACGATATGGGGGAAGAAGAGGAATGTAAAGCATGCACGGCGCTCCCGACGCAAGCAGAGTTTGGCGGCGCGCACAAGGGCGTAGGGGGGAGGGAGGAAGGCTTCTTAGAAGGAGGCTGCTTCTTAGAAGGCGCCAGCCTTACATCTATAGATGAGGCCCGCGCCTTCTAAGAAGCAGCCTCCTTCTAAGAAGCCTTCCCCCCTCCCCCAGTGCACCCCTCTGCGCGTGGCTGAAGAGTGGCGCCTGGTGCCCTTCTCGCGGAGCGTCTTCTCGCGCATCAGCGCAGCGACCCGCTGCGCCCCCCCCCGGAAGGGGGGACGACGAACACGTGGGCGGCCGAGGTCGCAGGGCATGCGCAGGAGGAGGAGGAGGAGGAGGAGGAGGAGGAGGAGGAGGAGGAGGAGGAGGAGGAGGAGGGATGGGGGAAGGACGAGGATGCAGGGTGGGGAGGAGAAGGAGGAGGAGGAGGAGGAGGAATGGGGGGAGGAGGAAAATTAGGAGGAAGAGGAGGAGGAGGAGGAGGAGGAGGAGGAGGAGGAGGAGGAGGAAGGGGAAGGAAGGAAGGAAGGAAGGAAGGAAGGAAGAAAGGAAGGGAAGGATGGGGATGGAGGGGGAGGACGAGGAGGAGGAGGAGGAGGAGGAGGAAGAGGAGTGAGGAGGAGGAGGAGGAGGAGGAAGAAAGGTTTTTGACCTGACATGGGACCATCCGCAAGCAAGATGACCGGAGGGTTGAAACATCGGCCAACGGCGGAGACTAGTCGCAAAACCACCGCAGCATCTCGCGAGCGATGTCTGAATCATCCGAATCGCTGGCGTCGGGAAAGTGCGCGAACTTATCCCAGAAGGCCGTCTCAGCCTGGGAAGCAAGAGGCTGCGACGACTCTTGCCCCGTCCCCCGGACCTCCGAACCACTCCCCACCCCACAAGTAGGAGAGAGAAGCGAACGCGGCGGCAATCTGGCCGTCTCGCAGAGGTTCCTGGCTCGCAACATAATGTGTGGGTCCAGGGAAAAAGCTCGTCTTGAGGTGGCATCCCTTCCGCAGCGTCTGAAAGCGGTAGTGCCTGGAGTCTTTAACCAGACCCCCAGCTCGGCGCAAACAAGGACGACATTCCTTGGCAAGGCCTCGCGCACGCTGGACAGCGCAAGCCCCGCACAGCGAGCAGACCACAAGAGGCCCTGCGCGGTGTAGCGCATACCGCCCCTCAGCATCGCGACACCTGAGCTGTCGCGGAACAGCTCGGAAATTTGCCGAGCGCATACGCACTATACACATGAAACGACAATCAAGCTTGGCGACGGCAGGGTCATACATCGAGTGCGGGCGCGGTGGGCCCATGCCTCCTCCGATCGAACCGATGTCCCTACTAAGGGCCTGGGGCAAGGCATCTCTGGCAATACCAAAACGGATGCGAGAAACAACACGCGAACAAAACTTGGCCACCATCTTGATGGCTTGCCGGGACTCCTTAATGGCCTTGATTAGGCCCTCGTTAACTGGGTGCAGCATTACTCCAGCTTTGGCAGCACGATCGGCAGCGTTGTTGCAATACCGCTGCTATTCAGGGATGAGGCCTTCGGCCACTGAAGACATTGGTGTGAGACTCGACATGAGAGACCTCCACCGACTCCACCCCAACGTCCAACACCCGCTTCCAAATCTCGCTCCATATCCAGGCCATGGGGTCGCTGGCAGCTGTGCCAACTTTGACTCCCTGGCTCCAAACATCCACAAGAGGCTTGCAGTCAATATTAAATTTTAGCTGGGCTCCCATGTACAGAAGAGCCATCAAATACGCGAATAGTTCAGCAGCGGTGGCTGCCTGGAACAGGGACGGGAGTGGCCCATGGAGCCTGGCAACTTTCCGAAACGCCTCATCCAAAGACGACCCCCCCCAAACCACACCCCCGAAGTCGGCCAAACCTGCCGTTGCACCCAGGTCCATTTGAGAGAGAGAGAGAGAGAAAACAAAAAAAAGAGAGAGAGAGAGAGAGAGAGAGAGAAAAAAAAAGCGAGAGAGAGAGAGAGAAAAACAGAGACAGAGACAGGGAGAGAGAGAGAGAGAGAGAAGGAGGGAGGGAGGGAGGGAGGGAGGGAGAGAGAGGGAGAGAGAGAGAGAGAGAGAGAGAGAGCAAAAAAAACGATAGAGCCCGCGTTTTACAAGCGTTTGGCTTGAAGAAACCGCCCGCCCCCCTCCCCCGGGAACCAGGGAAAGCGCACACCAAAAAGTCCCCCCTTCCCTGGGAACCCGGGAAGGGGGGAGCCCCTTGCCCCCCCCCGAAACTGGAGGGGGGGGAACCCTCCCCACACGGGGGGTGGGCCCCCCACCCATTTGGGAGCGACGACAAAAACGACGACGGCGACGGCGACGGGCGACGGGCGACGGCGACGGCGACGACGACGACGACGGCGACGGCGACGGCGACGGCGACGGCGACGACGATGCCGACGACGACGACGACGACGACGACGACGACGACGACGACGACGACGACGGCATCGACGAGCCGGTGGACTGGTCGGTCGGGCGGGCGGGACATTCGATGCAACCTTCACAATGTTTTGTGGGAACACCTTGGGCATATGTATATATAATTAGATGTTACCGGAGAAAAGCACCTATCAAAGTCTTTTTAGAGCAATAGGGTTGTGGGGCTATTGGGCTATAGGGCGATGGGGCGATAGGGCTATGGAACTATAGGGCTATGGAACTATAGGGCTATAGGGCCATAGGGCTATAGGTCTATAGGGCTATAGGGCTGTAGGGCCATAGGGCTATAGGGCTGTGGGGCTATAGGGCTATGGGGCTCTGGGGCTCTGGGGCTATTGGGCTATAGGACTATAGGGCCATAGGGTTATGAGTCTATAGGGCTATGGGGCTATAGGGCTATAGGACCATAGAGCTATAGGGCTATAGGGCTGTGGGGCTATAGGCATATATAGAGCTAAAGGGCTATAGAGATGTAAGGCTATAGGGCTATAGGGCTATAAGGCTATAGGGTTATATGGATATAAGGCTATCGGGCTATGGGGCAATTGGGCAGCAGGGCAATAGGGCTATGGGGCTATTGGGCGATGGGTCTAGGGCTATAAAAGCTATAGAGCTATAGGGCTCTAGGACGCTAGGGCTATAGGGCTATAAGGCTATACGGCGATAGCGCTATAGGGCTATAGGGCTATTGGGCTGTAGGGCTACAGGGCTATTGGGTTACGGGGCTATACGGCTATAAAACCATAGGGCCAAAAGGCCCTATGGCTTTGTGGCCCTAGGGCGGGCTGCGGAAATCGGTGGCAAACCTCACCTAACCAGATGAATCCGCTAGGACCCCTACAGAGGGAAGCTCTGATTGGGGAAAGTATACCTCAAAGACCCCCCAAACGCCGATTGGGCGGGCGGAACATCAGTTGAAACCTGCAGTCATTGGTGGGCAATCCAAATTTGGCGGGCCGGACATTAAATGCAACCTGTGCTGTGTGAAATGAGAAACGTAAGGGCAATCGATCACAACCGCCGAAGACGCCGATCGGGCAGGCGGGACATTACAGGACCCATTCACTCAGTGATGGGGCGTCCATATCGGGCGGGCGGGACATCAAATCCGCCGGCCCAACGGGCCAGGGCGTGCTAAGATCTCCGGTAACAGGTAAACAGTATTTCTAGTTCGCGCGCGCGGGGCGGCCCCTAGGAGTCCCCGGGCGAAAAGTACCCCGGCAGGTCCCCGGGAGAGTGGGGGCCAGAGATGCCGGACTTCCTGGGCGCGGCCCCGGAGGCCTCTGGAGCGCTCCAGGAGCGCTCCAAGGAGACGCCAAATATGTGGCAGGCCCAGCAGCCTGAAGCCAAGAGCGCCCCAAGACGGCCCAGATGGCCTCAAGACGGCCCAAGATGCTCCCAAGACGCCCCAAGATGCGTCCAAGAGACCTCCCAAGAGGCCCCCAAGAAGCCAAAATTGATGATTTCCATTGCTTTTTTGAAGATTTTGGCGTTCTCGCCTCTTCGGCTTACTAGCGCTTTAAGACGGCCCAAAAAGCCCTCAATGTCGCTCCAATACGGCCTACGAGGGTTCAAGACAGTTCCGAAACGACCCCAGAGGGCCCTAAGAGACCTCCAGAAACCTCCAAGATGGCCCAAGATGCCGGCCCCCAAGACGGCTCCAAGACCGGGCCCCGACGGGGGACCGGAACGGACATTTCGAACCAACTACACCGGACTGGTGCACCCACGACCGAAAACAACGTCCCCCCCCCATCAGCGCAGCATGGCTCACGGACGCGCAGCCAAACCCCAGCGATTACGCATTATGGGCCGGCGGAATGAGCGAAGCGATTAAAGAAAACCTTCGCACTGTGTTGGGAAAAGGTCACCGGAAAATATGTCACAACTTCCAGAAAATTGGACGGGCGGGCGGAACACCAAATGAAACCTTTAGTAGGCAGTGATGGGGCGTCCAAATTGGGCGGGCGAGACATTAAATGTAGCCTTCACGGTATGATATGAGAAAGATAAGGGAACATCGATCACAACCACCGAAGACGTCGTTCGGGCGGGCGGGACATTCAAGGAACCATTCTCTCAGTGATAGGACGTTCATATCAGGCGGGCGGGGCATAAAATGCAACTTTCACTCTGTGTTGGGAGCAAGTCATGGAAAAATGTATCACAGCCGCCGAAAAATCAGGACGGGCGGGCGGGACAGTCAATGAAACCTGTGGTCAGCGATGGGGCGTCCAAATTGGGCGAGCGGGACATGAAATGCAACCTTCACTAGGAGAAATGAGAAAGTTAAGAGGAATCGATCAAAGCAGCCGCACACGTCGTTCGGGCGGGCGGGACATTAAAGGAACCATTCACTCAGTGATGGGGCGTCCAAATCGGGCGGGTCGTCGTCGTCGTCCTCGTCGTCGTCCTCGTCGTCGTCCACGTCGTCGTCGTCGTCGTCGTCGTCGTCGTCGTCGTCGTCGTCGTCGTCCTCGTCGTCGTCGTCGTCGTCGTCGTCGTCGTCGTCGTCGTCGTCGTCGTCGTCGTTGTATTCGTCGTCGTCGTCGGCCCTCGAGATTCTAGCCGGAAGGGCAGGGGGGGGCGCTTTCCCTGGGGAGGGGGGGCCCACCCCCTCTTGGGCGCCCCCTGGGGGAAGAGAGGGTGAACCCCCAGTTCTCGGAGGGGGCCCCTTCCCCCCTGGGGTCTGGAGCCCGGAACCACTTTAGGGAGCCCCTCCCACACCCCGCCCCGGTTCGAACCCGAGGGGGGGGAGGATTTACAAGCGCCCACGTAAAACGCTCTTTCCCAGGAGGGGATCCTCCGAGCGGCGAGACCGCAACAACTTCATCCAGGCACGGACTGGGAAACGGCCAAGACAGGTCAAGCACGGTAAAGATTGCCCAGATGAGGAGTTGGTCAGCCGTGTCGGTGGCTAACGCAAGCATTTGAGCAGCCAGCTGATACTATACAAAATACTCACGCTTAAATTGGCCATTCACCTGGCGCGCCATCTCCAGGGCTGCTGGCGCCGCTGTCCCGTGGAGACGGACGTCGTCGCTGGCCTGTTGGTCGCTCGCATCGGACGATGGTTAGCGGCGCCCGCATCGTCAGCGATCTAGGTGAGTCCTGGAACTCGTTGCAGCTGGCTCCCATGGTGCTGCGCAAGCTTGCCAGTCAGAGATTCTGCCGGCATGAGCTCTGGCAGGCATGACCTGGGCCAGCATGGGTCCCGAGGGCGGTCCGAGGGCCAGGGGGGCCCCGTCTTTCCGATGCTGCTTGGCAAAGTGCTTCAGGGAATCTGCGTAGCCTTGCCTAGCAAGACACGCCGAAGCATCGCCAATCCCGCTGCGAGGTCCACGAGGGCCTCCGGAGAGACAAGGTCTCTGCGTGGCTTGCAGCCAGACTCGGGTCGGGCGAAAGGGGGGGATAGCAAAGGGGGGGTTTGAGAATCAGCTCACGTAGCTGATTTTCCCGGCGCCTCCCGGCGCCGGAAGCGGCTATGTATCGAGGAATGGGCCCCTCGGTGAGGCCGAAACCAGCTGCATGCAGCAAATTTCGTAACCCCCCCTTTCCCAATCCCCCCCTTTCGCCCGGCCCGACAGACCAAGGACTGAATTACACCCTTCAAGAACACGGGGCCCCCCGCCAGTCAAGCTGAAAAGCCTTCGAGGGTGCCCCCCACACCGGGATGCACAACAACACCCAACAAGCACGAAGAACACCAGGGTACTCCAGATCTCGTAATAAAAGGGAGGGGGTCTGGACCCTCCAAGACAAGCCATTTCAGACCTCCCCCGTGGGAGAACCCTCCAAAACATCGTCCCCAGACCCCCCAGGCCCTCCAAGATGGCCTGGAAGAGACCCCCCCCGAAATGAGACCCCCCTCCCTTTATTATGAAATCTGGAGTACCCTCCCCGAGCCGACCTCGATTTTATGCGGCGGTCCGACCGCAAAGAAGAAGGCGAGGCGGGCGGTGGAGTCGGGTTCGGAGGTGGGGAAGAAACGCGCGGGGCGCGTTTCCTTCCCCGCTTGCGCACGTGCCGCGAGGGGCACCGCAGCAGCTGGTTCACTGGATCATGAAGTCAGCGTCAGGGTTGTTTGCAGGCTGTAAGTTGGCCTACGTTTTGGCCATGTTCTCGAACCTCGTCGGAGTCGCCCGAGCTGATGGGCGCTTGTGCATGTCGATCGGTTCGTTGGCCTTCAAGCGGCGGCCTAATTATGGGGCCGTGCCTATAGAATTGGGGCCCCGTCAAACCTCAAATGATGGCGATGGCTACGCCGTTCACGTGCTGTACAAAGTTGGCATGCCCCTTTTCAGCATTACTTGGACTGCGAGACCACCCTGGAGGCCCCTCAGAAGGGATCGGGCGCGGGGACGTCTGCGGGGGTCCCCAGAGCACCCTATGGTCCCACTTCTGAAGCAATTTCAAGGCCTGCGATTTCTAAGCGCAAGTGACCCTGGCACAAGCCACGTCTACGGACGTCGACCAGGGCCTTTCCACGTGGTGGAAGCGAAACGCCAATGCTGGGGCTGGCACATACGCCAAGGCCGGGGCGATGTTGCACTGTGTTGCACAGGCCCACGCCGACCTTGTACGTGGGTTTCGCGAGCAGGAGCGCGAAGCAGGGCAGTGGGCTGGAGAGCAGTGGGCCGAGGTCCATCTGTCAACCTCCAACGCCTCTCGGTCCGACACTGCTGGCTCGGGCGGCGCACCTGGGCCTGCCGTGCCCGCTGATCCCCAGGAGAAGCCCCTCGAAGACGGTGGACCCCTGGGGCCGACCATGCAGGGGGAGGGGGGTCATCGGTGGCTGCGCCGCAAGCTGGCGCAGGTAGCGGCCCTGCAACGACGGATGCTGTGCGGGGAGGTCACGCCCAACTCGGCTCAGCAACGGCTTCTTGCACTTGGCCCGGAGCTGGGGGGAATGGGACGGACGGCGACGGCGGTGGGGGGGTGGCAGCCTGTCATCCGGCCAGACGTGAACCCCCAAAACGTACCAAGTCTGGGGTTACGGCCTCCTCAAGTGTGCGGTGGAGCCTCCCCGCGCACAGGGGCACGGGCGAACTTTTCGCTACAGGTAAGAGACGTACTGCGCCGATTTCAAGCCAGGCCAGGTGCTGCGCGCGCGGTGCAAAGGTGCACCAGCGAGCGAGGCATCAAGTCCCAACTCGGTCGCATCAAGAATACGGGCTACCACGCGAGAACTGACGCTCAGCCTTCCAGGCCATGCGTCCAGCCAGGACAGGGGACTACTGAGCCAAACGAGTTTGTCTCCGCCACTCCGCCACCTCCTGGCGTCACAGCCACTGCGGCTCCGAGCTGGCGCGCTGTTGCAGGGTACGCGCCGAGGGAGACGGTGCTGCAAACTTTCGGTTTGCTCGAGGGCGACCTGTCGCGTGTCCAGGCTCTCGGAGGGAAAGCCCGTCGAGATGCTTTTTAAAATGGACTCCGACCACTGATCCGACGGAGGCGATCTCTTCTAACTGCACCTGCGCTGAGCGCGATCCATAACAGTCCGCTCCCCCTCCCCCTCCCCCCCCCTCCTCTTCCTCCTCCTCCTCCTCCTCCTCTTCCTCCTTCTCCTCCTCCTCCTCTTCCTCCTACTCCTCCTCCTCCTCCTCCTCGTCCTCCCCTTCCCCTCCTCTCCTCTCCTCCTCCTCCTCCTCCTCCTCCTCCTCCTCCTCCTCCTCTTCCTCCTCCTTCCCTTCCTCTCCTCCTCCTCTCCTCCCACCTACTCCTCCTCCTCCTCCTCCTCCTCCTCCTCCTCCTCCTCCATCATCCTTTATCTCCTTATGCACAACTCCTCCCTGTCGCACCCCGAGACGTGTCGGTAGGGAGGGCCGGGCGTTTCGCCTGAGACTTCCTGACCATGTCTGATCCTCAAAAAAATACCTGAAACCAATATCACAGATGGAGGGCGGGCCGCTTTCAACATGTGGTTCTCGCCTGCGAGCCGCGCACATTCGTCTTAAAACATCGGAAGAGTTTCACCGATAGGAGGGCGGTTCCTTTTCACACTGTTGCTCTCACCCTCGCGCCGCACACACTCGTAATTCAGAATGCCAGAGCTTCACGGGTGGAGGGCGTTGTTTTTCAAAATGTGGCTCTCGCCCAGGCGAAGCGCGCTTCAGTTTCAAAAGTGCAAGAGCGTCACGGATTGATGGCGGTGCCTTTTCAAAATGTAGCTCTGGCACTAACGCTGCGCACATTCTTCTTTGGAGCTCACGGCAATTCCAAGGATTCTTGTGGTTGGCGTCTCAGAAATTGTGTTTTGGCACGATGTAGGACCATCAGAGCACAATTGTTACGTTTGTTCGCGGTGTTGGCATCCCACTAATGATGCTCTAGCATGGCTCACGATCGTCAGGAGACAACAGTGACATTGATTCGCGGCGTTGAAGTCCCAGGAATGATGTGCTGGCACGGTTCAAGACTTGCAAACGGTTGTCTTCCAAAGGGGAACATCCCTCAATGGAAATGAAGCCTTGCATGGGCCTATGAAGATGAAACTTGAGGGACTGTTTATTGCAACATCGGTGATGAAACTTGGGTTTGCACTGGTCCTCTTCCTCCTCCTCCTCCTCCTCCTCCTTCTCCTCCCCATCACCCCCTACACCGCCCCCACTCCCCTTCCCCTCCCCCCTATCCTTTTCCTTCCTCCCTCCTCCCATGGCCTCCTGGGCTTCGGGCAGACACCGCTCGCCGCCCTCTGGCGCGAGCGGGCGAGGCGGCGCGGCCAGAGCACGAGGCAACCTGGAGCGTCGGTAGGGCCCCCCTGCGGTGTCGGCGGAGCCCGCGGATCAAATTCTCGACATCGTGGCGCCGGCTCCAGGCCCAGCCCTGCGAGTCGGTGAGCTGCCTGACATCCTGGCGGGCGCGCAGGTATCGGACCGCTTCGGCTCCGGCGCGCGCCACAGGCACTGAGCATCGTGTATCCGATCCCTATCCCCACCGGCGTGGCCTGGGCCCCCTGGCCGATTTCACCCGCTAGATGGGGAGATAGGCGTTCTCTTCGGAGTTCGAAGAGCATATTCCCAATTGGGGTGGTGGGATGGTGGGGATCGGAACGGGGATGGGGATCGGGATCGGCTAAACGATATCGAGGCACGAACGCCCTCGCGGAGGATGAGGACGTGTCGGGGGCGTCCAGGAGGGGGGCGCCCAGGAGAGGGGGGTGGCGAAAAGCATAGCCAGAGGCATGTTCGCGGACGAGGGGGCCCCTCGGAGCAGAAATGACGCGTCTCGTTTAGGGGGTTTTCCAGTTCACCTTCCTCCGCTTCCTCCCCCTCCTCCTCCTCTTCCTCCTCCTCGTCGCCCTCCTCGCCTTCCTCCTCCCCCCTCTTGTACGCCCACCAGAATGGGTGGGCATCACTGGCAACCGGAAGAGTGTCAGCTGTGGCAACGAGAAGGCCCAGGACGACGACGACGAGCAGGGCATGGACGGGGAGGATCGGGGGGAGGCAGAGAAGGAGGCGGCAAACGAGGGAAGGAGGACCACGAGGCATAAAAAGAGAAGAACAGGGAAATCGGCCGACCCCCGGTTGCCGGAGGTAGAAAGGCGTGTGAGACATTTCGCTGTCCCCCATCCCCCCTCCCAGGGCTCGTCTCGATTCATCCGATTCGATTCGATTCGATTTCGATGGTTTCCGATTCCGACCGATTTGGGCTCCGATTTCTCAACGGACCCCTACTCGCCTGCCGATGTCCGCCGATTCGACTTTTCCCGACTCGGCTTCCGACTTCCGGCGATCCAATTCATTTCGATCGCCGATCCGAATTCTCGATTCAATTCTGGACTCTCCTGCCCCTCCCTTCCCCAGGGTCCGACATCGCGTTTGAGGAGGGGGGGGTCCCTGGGCTCATCAACGCATCCCATGGGGCCTCTGGAACCTGCAAAGCAACCCTCCGTGGCCGCCAGGAACCCAAGATGCTTTCTAAGATGGCCCAAGAAGAGCTCCAATACGCCGGAGAAGCCTCAAGAACACCCAAGATACGCCTCAAGACGGCCGAAGACTCCGAAGCAAAACCCCAAGAGGACCCCCGAGATGGCCTCAATAGGCACAAAACATTGATTTCCCCTGGATTATTTCAAAATTTTCGCATTCTCGGCTCTCTGGAGTCTGCGTGCCCAAGATGGCCCAAGAAGCCCCCCAGACTGGCCCAAGCCGGCCCAAGAGACCTTCAAAAAGGCCCGGAGACGGCCTGGGAGGGCCCCAACACTGCTGTGGAGGCCCCCAAGACGGCAGAACAAACCAGCAAACCTGAATGTGGCCCCCAGGGAGGGTCAACCCAAGAGGGGGAACCCGCAGAGGCCCCAGGAGCCCTCCTCCAGAAGATGGCCTCAAAGACAAGGGCTCCCAACTTCGCGCTTCGCACTTCGCGAATAACTTCGCGTTCTCGCGCCGTCTCCCAGGGGAGAAACGGAGGATGAGGAGGAATCGGAGCCGAACCGCGAATCGCGAATAACTTCGCGCCCTCGAGGGCGCCCTTGCAAAGGCCCGCAACTGGCTCCAAGAGGCCCCCCCAACAGGAAGCCAAGGGGCCGGGGGCCCCCTCCCACCCTCCGGGAACCTTGGCAGAGCTGTCAGAGGCCGCCACCGTGGGCCGCCAGCAGGCCCCGAAGATCCCCCCACGAGATCCAGGAGGCTTCAAGCATTCTCAAATGATACAGTCGGGGCGTTGACCTAAGGAGCCCTAAATAAGGAACGAGGCCCCTTTTTCCATAAGTTAAACTTCGATTTCCTATCAAAAACATAAGGAGAACCTGAGGCAAGCAGTGAAACACTTAAGGCTGAGCCCCTCCCCAACGAAAAGGGTTCCTTCTTCAGGGCCCCGACTGTACCCCCCAAAGACTCCCGAGCATCCCCAAAGGCACCACCCAACTGCACAAGGGGGTCTCACATAAAGTCTGGACAACACTACAACCCCTCCCGTCGTCCTCGACATCCTCCTCCACGTCCTCCTTCCTCTCACCGTCGTCGTTATTTTTTGGTTGTCCTTTTTCCCCTTCCCCCTCACTCTACAGATCCCAAGATGAAGAGGTTCTATCGACCATCCGCAAGGTTATTCCAGGAGCATATCGCTTCATGCGCGGCGCGCAACATCACTCAGTGCACCCTTCTGAGAAGCGCAGGATAAAGGAGCCCCATGCGCGGAGTCGCAGCTGCGCCGCGGCCACTCCTCCCACACACCCAGTCACTTGAAGGCATCCCATGCGCGCAACGGCGTCCAAGAAACAGCCAGCAAGCGCACAGGAAACTCTGACGAGGCTTCAAGACGCCTACCAAGATGTCCACAAGGCCTCACTTCGTCTGGGGATCGGCAGAATGGCGTAGGCCTCTCGAATCGGGAAGGAGAGAGAAGAGGACGAGGGCGAGGGGGAGGAGAGGAAGGAGGGAACTGGAGGTGAGAGAAGGAGGAAGAGGAGGAGGAGCACGACCAGGAGGAGGAGGAGGAAGATGAGGAGGAGGAGACCGAGGAGGGGGAGGAAGAAGGCGAGGAGGAAGATAACCAATGTAGACCAAAGACCCATTAACGATATTGCAATAGACCCTCACTCCAAGCTCCTTCTTCATATGCCCCAGACAAGGATGCATTGTCACCGAAGGAAAGGCTCCGTTGGAATACAACCGTTTGAGCATCCTGGACTGTGCCAGAACGTCATTCCTGGGACTTCGACGCCGCGAATCATCCTTTACTTTTGCGTCTTGGCGATCCTTACCACTGCTGGGACGCCAACACCATGAATTAACGTAACTGTTGCCTCCTGACAGCCCGACATCGTGCCAACACACAATGTCTGGACGCTGAAAGAACGTGGGAGTCCTGACATTACTGTAAACCCTGAAAGCCAACGTGCGCGGCGCTCAGGCGAGAATCACATGTTGGAAAAGAACCGCTCTCGATCCGTGAAGCTCTTGCAATGAATGTTAAAGTGCTTCAAGACGAGTGTGTGCGGCGATGAGGCGAGAACCACATTTTGAAGACGACGCGCCCTCTATCCGCGAAGCTCTTGCAGCTTGTTAACACGAACGTGCGCGGCGAGAAGGCAAGAACCACACATTGAGAACGACCCGCCCTCTGTCCGTAAGACTCCTCGGTTGTTCAAGACGGGTGCGCGTGGCGCTGAGGAGAAGTTGCTCACTGGGACAAGGAATGAGAGAAGAGGAAGGTGAGGGGGAGGGGAAGGGGGAGGATGGGCGAGAGGGAGGAGGAGCGGGAGGGGCAGGAACATGGGATGTGGGGGGCGGTTTGGGGGGAGGGGGGTAAGGAGAGGGGAAGGGAGTCAGGGAGAGGGAACATGAGGGACAAGAGCGAGAAGGCGGGATGGCGAAGAGAGCGCATCACCTCCCCTTCGCCTCGGCTCCCTCCGCCGTCCGCGCTCCCCTTTGCTCCTCTCCCCTCCCTTCCCACCCCCCACACCCCATCAGCCTCTCCCATTTCCCCCTGTCCCTCCCTCCCACCCTCCTGACCCCCTCGTGTTTCCTTCCCCTTCCCCGCTTCCCTCCCTCCCTCCTTGCCCGCTCCCCCCCGCCCCTTCACTTGCTTTCCAGGGGCGCCTCGTTGTAGGAAGGGAGTCGTGAAGAAGGCGCGTGCCACGAAGCCATCCATGGATGAGAGACCGAAACCGACTCTCGCGAACAGGACTCCTTCTCTTCTCGAAGCCGGGGGGAGAAGGAAAGCGTCGTCCTCCTTCTACTCCTCCACCTTCTCCTCTTGTTCCACCTCCTCTTCTTCTAAAACGAAACCCAAACCAGGACAACATCGGCCCGGGACAAATATGGGACCTCAGAAATCTGGCGGTCTTGGAGAAATTATCGGGCGCCGCGGCCGTTCCAGAGCGCTTCGAAACGCTCTGAAAGCGTTCGGGATCGCTCTGGAGCGATTTGTCCCGGTCCTGGCCCGCCCAGACTTCCTCTTCGCTGATCATCGTCTCTTCGCATCCACACCTTTCCCTTATGAACAACTCCTCGCTGTCGCACTCCGAGACGTGTCGGTAGAGCGAGACGGGCGTTTCGCCTGAGACTTCCTCAACATTTATGATCATGAGGCTAAGAACTTACAACATGTTACAACAGCTTCACGGACGGAGGGCGGGGCGTTTGCAAAATGTGGATCTCGCCTTAGCGCCGCGCGCATCTGTCTTAAAGTTCGCAGAAATTGCACGAATGGAGGGCGGGCCGTTTTCAAAATGTGGCTCTCGTCTGAGCGATGCGCACATTCGTCTTAAAAGCTTGCATGAGATGTTCGAAATGTGGATCTCGATTTAGCGTCGCGCGCATGTGTCTTAAAGGTTTGCAATGTATTCGCGGATGGAGTGCGGGCCGTTTTCAAAATGTGGCTCTCGCCTGGGCGCCGCGCACAACCGTCTTAAAAGCTTACAAGGGGTTTCACGGATGGAGGGTGCATGGCTTTCAAAATGTTGCGCTCGCCTCAACGCCGCGCACATTCGTCTGAAACGTCTGCCAAGAGCTTCACAGATGGAGGGCGGGTGGTTCTCAGAACGTGGATCTCGTCTGAGAGCCTCGCACGTTCGTCTTGATACCTTGCAGAAAATCACGCATGGACGGCGGGTAGTTTTCAACATGTGTATCTCGCCCCAGCGCTGCCTCAACCGTCTTAAAAGCTCACAAGGGGTTTCACGGATGGAATTCGGTTGTTTGTGGTAGCGACACATGGTTGACGTCCCAGGAATGTACAGGCACGATTTCGGATTGCCAGGACGCAACAATCACGTTGATTCGCGGAGTTGAAGTCCCAGGAATGACGTTGTGGCACGATTCAGAATCGTCAGGACGCAACAGTAAAGTTGATTCGCGGCGGTGAAGTCCAGGGAGTGCGGTTTAGTACGATTGAAGATTCTCAGACGGCTGTCGTCCAACGGGGCACTTCGACCAGTGAAAACACATGATCGTAGGGACCCACGGAGAAATGGCTTGGAGGGAGGGTTTATTGCAACATCGTTGGTGCGTCTTGCGTTAGCACTGGTCCTGGCCTCCTCCTCCTCCTCCTCCTCCTCCTCCTCCTCCTCCTCCTCCTCCCTCCTCCACCTCCTTTCCTCCCGACAGTCGTCCTCGCCACCAACAACACCGCAATGCGTTCTAATTCACCCTCCAACAGGCCTCCACGACGAACACCAGGAGCTCGTCCGCGAACCCGTGCACCTCGCCGTCTAGTGGCTTGATCCTGTCCACGATGTGGTGAGCCTCGAGGTCATACACCCTGGGAGTTTTTTGCCCTAGCGAGCCGCCGTGCCATCCCGTCCCCAGGGAAGCTAGCACCTCAGAAGCCTCAGACATATGAGCGTTTTCATGTTTTTTCGCGACGGCGGCCGTTACCGGACCCGGCCGCCCCTCCCCCAGGTAACGTCACGATTCGTGCTGACCTCCGAGTTGGCGTTGGTTTTTCCTAAGACATTCCCAGACGGAGCTGGCGCGAAACGCGACGTTCATGGTCCCCCCGCCTCCCGCCCCCGGTAACGCCCATTATCGCCAGGCAATGAAAGCCGGAACGATGAAAAAGACGATCTGCGATGGGGGAGCCCCCACGTATTACCGAAGACGAATCATCGAGTCAGGCTGCGCGCGGGCGATGTGAGTGGAGCCCAGGGAGCTTTCGTTTGTGGCGAATCGCTGGGATAACCGAAGGACCGATGGCACCAACCTTGACTCCGATGATACTGAACGGCTGGTTCGCGTCGCGATGCCGCGGGCGTTGGTTTCTGACGCCGCATGGATCATTCAACCTTGAACGATCGCGGCTCTCCAATACCGCAAATCGTTCGACCTTGGCGGGCTCTGGGCCACTGGTGGCGTTCAACCTTGAACGCCCGCGCTGGGGTCGCCGCCGCGTCAACGTGGCGCAACCCTTCCAGAACGTACGTTCAGAAATATCGTGTCTGCATCGATCGCTATCTGGCTCTGGGAATGCTCGCGTGCACGTGCATCCATGCGTATACTCACCGGAATATATCGGAATAGGTGTCTCTCTTTCTCTCTTTCTCTCTATCTCTCTCCGTTTCGCTCTCTCTCTGTCTCTCTCCCTCGATGTGTGAACATGCATGCGCATATATATATATATGTATATATATACATATATATATAATATGTATAGAGTGAGATCGAAGTGGAACGGAGAGCCCCCCACCAGGAAATCGGTTTCGGTTTCGTGTTCGTGCATGCCGTGCGTGCGGGCGAGGCGAAGCTGCGTGGGCGGGCGAAAAGAGAGTCTCCTGTGGCTGAGGCGCGGCCGGACCAAATGATTCTCCCTCCGGCAAGCGATGGCCCGCGGTGTCCCGCAAATGATTCTCCCTCCGGCAAGCGGTGTGCCGCGGTGTCCCGCCGGTGTCCCGGTGTCCCGCTGGTGCGAAAACGATAATGAGACCGATGACGAAATCGGTTGTGATATCGATAATGAGATCGATAGTGAGACCGATAGTGAGATCGATCGTGAGATCGATAGTGATATCGATTATTAGATGAATAGTGATATCGATTGTGAAATCGAGTGATATCGATAGGGAGATCGTTAGTGGGATCGATGGCGATATCCGGAGTGAGATCGACCGTGAAATCGATCGAGTGAGATCGGGAGTGAGATCGATCGACTGATATCGATCGTAGGATCGATGGTCCCAGCGATCGTGAGACCGATAACGACATCGCTTGTGATATCGATAGAGAGATCGATAGCGAGATCGATGGTGAAATCGATCGTGAGACCGATAACGACATCGCTTGTGAGATCGATAGAAAGATCGATATTGAGATCGATTGAGTGGAACCGATAGTGAAATCGATCGTGGAGATCGATAGTGTGATCGATCGACCACTGTTGCCCATTGCTGGCCCCCTCCCCCCCGACCTCCTTTTAACCCGCAAGGTGGTCGTACACATATATATATATATATATATATATATATATATATATATATATATATATATATATATATGCATACATGCAGATTCCGGTATACTCATATATACAAGCGTCCTTATTTGGCATCCACATCGCTATCTCGAACCGTATCCGAATCCCTGTCCATGACAGACATTTGTGCACAAACGCAAACACACAAACACAAACACCCACACCCACACACACATATAAGCACACACACACACACACTTTTGCGTCGGCGGCTGGGCAGAAGGTGACTGCTCCGGCGATCGGGCATCTGGGGGGCGCACTGGATGCAAATGGGAGCCGCGAAGCACGTGGGAAAATGAGGACCCTGGCGCGACGGGAAACAGTGAAGCCGGGAACCCGGGCCCGCTCGCTCAGGCAAGTCACCGGCTGCGGCGAGGAGCGCCGACGGGCGGGAACCAGCCGCGGCGCCGGGCAGCAGCTGGGGGGGGGCGGCAGCCCAGCGGCGGCCGGGCAGAGCCAGATGGGGGAGCAGCACAAGCGATGCGGGAGCTGGCTGAACAGGCGGACCCAGGTGCGGGCGGGGCGCCGGCAGCCGCAAGAACGCTGCACCAGGGCGGCAAACGCAGGCCGGCGCGAAGGCGAAGGACAAAGGACGAAGCGGCGGAGCCACGCCATCAGGGGGAGCGGCGTGGAGCTGGGAGCGCCAGCGGCTGGCTCAGCGGGTGGGCGGGCGATCGAAACCACGGGTGGGCTGGAGCGCAGAGACCTGGGGGCCTACGAGGCGCGGCGGGAAGCGAGAAGAGCGGAACGACGCAGGCCGAATGCAGCGCGCTGAGCGCGGCAAGCGCCGGCCGGCGCGCAGGCGAACGACGATGGCCGAAGAGGACGAGCCACGCCAAAAGGGCGGCGCGGCGCTGGGAGCACCAGCGGTGAGTGGGCGGGCGCCAAGACCAGAAGGCCTACGAGGCGCGGGGGCAGGGGGGCAGCGCAAAGGCACCGCAGCAGCGAGGCAGTCGGGGCGGAGAGCGCCGAGACTAGCCGCCCCGCGGCGCGGAAGGGGCGGGGCGGCCAAGGCGCGGGCCAGAAGCGCCCGTGCGGAAAGGGCGGCCCACCGGCGCAAGGGGAATGGAGCGAAGGGGGGGGCGGCCCGCCGGCGAGGCGCCGAGGGGGGCGCCTGGCGGAGGGGGCGGCCCGCCTGCACCCTGTGCGCCTGCGCGCCTGCGCGGAGGGGGGCGGCCCACCTTGGCGGAACGGGGGGCGGCCCGCCGGCGGAGGGGGAGCGGCCCGCCTGCGCGAAGGGGGGAGCGGCCCATCAGCCAGGCGCGGAAGGGGAAGCAACCCGCCTGCGAGGCGCAGAGGGGGGATCGGCCAGGGCACCCAAAGAGAGGCACTGCAGGGGAGCAGCGAGCGAGCAGGCCCACTGGCAGAATTGCCGAAAGGGCCACGCGCTGGCCTGAAAACCAGGCAAGGGAGGGGACCGAACAAGTGCAGCGTCGATCAAGGGGCCCTCACTGCAGCCAAGGGCGCACTCCGTAATTAGCGGAAGCGCCTCGGCGCACGGAGGGCTCGCTGCGGCCTTTCGGCGCAGCCGCAAGAGAATCAGGGAGGCGACGAGGCCATGAGGTGGAAGCTGCGAAAGAAGGAGGCACCGCGTCGGCCGGGGCCCCTGATGCCCCCACCGCGCTGAGAGCAATGCCTGGCCCAGGCCGCGCTGGGTTCGCCGCCAGCTCGCCGCGCTCGCGGCGGCCAGGGCCCCGTTGGCATTGAAGGGGTCGTGGCAGAAGACGCCTGGGACAGGGGCGGCGCGTTCCCTGCCCTGGGGGGCGCCGCGCGGTCGTGGGACCGCGCGGCGCCAGCAGCCCAGGCCCGCCGCAGCCGCGGCCGCTGCAGAGGCCACGGCGTCGGCGGCCGCGGCGGCAGCGAGCGCGCCAGCGGCCGCGACGGCGGCGCACGCGACGGAGGCCGCCGCGGCGGCCTCCGCGGCGGCGGCGCCCGCGGCGCAGGCCGCGCACGCGGCGCCAGCGGCGCCCGCAGCCCCTGCATCGCCGGCGGGGCCAGCGGCCGCAGAGGAGCCGGCCGCGCCCGCAGCGCCACTCACGCCCGCGGCGCAGGCGGCGCCCGCGGCGCGGGGGGCGCTGGCGGCGCGCGCAGCCGCCCGCGACGACCAGCGGCGGCGAGCCAGGCGGGGCGGCAGGGCCGCCGCGGCAGCGGCGGCCGCCGCAACGCGGGGAGCGCCCGCGGCGCCCGCAGCGGCCACGGCGCAGGGGGCGCCAGCGGCAACGGGGCACGCGGCGCGTGCAGCGGCAGCGCGCCGCTGCCGGCCGCCGTCCCCACGGCGGCAGCGGCCGCGGCCACGGCGCAGGCGGCGGCCAGAGCCGGCGCAACCGCGCGGGGAATGGCAGCCGCATCGAAGGCCAGGGCAGAGCCCGCGGCGCCGCCAGCGCAAGGGCCCCCAGCCAGCCCGGCGCCGCCGCGGCCAGACATGCCGAGGCGGCGGCGGCGGCGGCGGCCGCAGCGCGCGGCCCAGCTGTGCCGCCCACGCCGCGCCGGCCAACCTTGAGCCCTGACCATGGGGGGAAGAGGCCCCTCCTGGGAGACGCCTTGATCCAAAATGGCTACGGACAAACACGCACACACACACACATCCGCCTCCGTGCTCATGTGTCACGAAGTGGAGTGTCCCCAAGTCCTTAGGTCACCCCCTCATCCTCGGGGGCCCAAAACGGGCCAAGAGGGCCTCAAGAGGCCGCCCAGACGGTCCGAGGGGGCTCCGCATCGCCGCGCGATCAAGCCAAGACACCCAAGATAGCCCCAAGAAGCCTTCGAAACGCCCCAAGGAAGCCCCAAGAGCCTTCCCAAGAGGCCAATTTTTGCTGATTTCCCTCAGGTGTTTCAATATTTATAGGGCCCACGACTTTTCAAGCTTCCGACGCTCCAAGACGACCCGAGAGGCCCTCAAGCCCGCCCCAAGAGGCCCCCAAGAGTGCCCAAAGGCGGCTCCAAGACAGCCCCAGAGGCGCCCAATACGGCCCAAAGACAACCCCAAGAGGTGGAAAACGAACCAAAAAGCCTAGTCTTCCGCTCCGCCCCAAGAAGCCCTCAGGAGGCCTCAGCGCGACCCCAAGGGGCCCCAAAGAGGTCCCAAGAGGCCCCGCCCAAAGAGGCCCCAACAGGCCCCCAAACGATGTTCAACGGCCCCCAAAAAGGCTCCTGTGAGGCCTCCCGCAGCATCCCAACGAACACTGTAGAGGCATATGACCCACAGCCCAGGCACGGTGGCGGGATGGGCCGAATGTCACTCTATTGTTTATGTTATACATATATATGTATATACATATATATATATATGTATATATGTACATATATATATATATATATTCTCTCTCTCTCTCTCTCTCTCTCTGTATGTATATTTGCTTGTTTGTTGTTATATATATCTCTCTCCCTTCTCTCTCTCTTTCTCTTTTTTTTGTTTCTCTCTCTCTCTCTCTCTCTATATATATATATATATACACAGATATGGAGGGCGCGCCGCTGGATGACCACAAGGGGGGGGGGGTAGGTCCCCCCCCTTTCCCCGATCCGTCGTCGGGGACCCCCCCCTCCCCCCCTTTCCCGATCGTCGTCGGGGACCCCCCCCCTCCCCCCCTTTCCCGGTCCGTCGTCGGGGACCCCCCCCCTCCCCTCCTTTCAAAAGGGGGGGGAGGTCCGACCCACCCCCCCCCCCTCCCCCCCTTTGGCCGCCAATTCGAACCCCCCCCTTCCTCCCCTTTCGCCACGGCGCCCCCGGTTTCCGGAACTCTGCCCGTACCACCCCTAACACTAATCCTCACCCTTGCCCTAACCCCTAACCCAAACCCCAAACCCAAAGCCGAGCCCCAAACAGTACTCACTACTCATTACGCACTACTCACCACCCACAACTCAGTACTCGCTACTCACTACTCACTTCTCACAACTCACTACTCACGACTCACTACTCACTAACCACGACTCACTACCCACGACACACTAGTCACTGCTCCCTACTCCCTACCCACTGCTCACTACAATATATTCAATACTACCCACTACTCAATACTCACTACTCACCAAACACAACTCACTACCCACTACTCGCTAATCACAAATCATTAATCACTACCCACCAACCACTATCCATTACTCACACTTCACTACGCACCACTCACTGCCCACAACTCCGTATTCACTATACACTACTCGCTACTCCCTACTACCTACACAGTACTCACTACTCACTAATCACTACTGGTCACTCCCTACGCCCTACTCGCTACCCAATACGCACTATTCACTACCCACGACTCACTACTCACTACGCTCCCACTACTCACTACTCACTACTTCCTACTCCCTACTCCCAACTCCCAACTCACTACCCACTACCCAGTACCCAATACTCACCATTCACTAAACAGTACTCACTGCCCACTACCCACTACCCAGTACTCAGTACTCACTAGACAGTACTCACTGTCCACTACTCACTACTCACTAAGCACTACTCACTACCCACTAAGCACTACGTACTAATGAAAACTCACAATTCACTACTCACTACCCACTGCACAGACCACACTACTCACCATCCGCTACTCGGTACTCAATATGACATATTCACTACCAACTACGCACTACTCGCTACCCACTACCCCCTACTCTCTATTCATTAGTCACTAGTCGCAAGTCGCTATTCACTACTCACTACTCCCTTCTCACTACTCGCAATTCACTACTCACTACTAACTACTAACTACTCGCTACTCCCTACTCGCCATGCACTACTCCCTGCTCACTACTGACTCCTGACTGTTCCCTCCTCACTACTCACTACTCACAACGCCCTACTCGCTACTCACTACTCACTACTCACTAGTCGCTACTCCCTCCTCGCTACTCCCTACTCCCTACTCCCTACTCGCTACTCGCTACTCGCTACTCACTATTCTTTACTCACTGCGCAGTAATCACTACTCACTACTCACTACTCACTCCCTCGGCCCTACTCCCTGCTTACTTCTCACTATGCACTACTACTCACTACACACTACTCACTCCTCACTACTCACAACTCCTTAGTCAGTACTTCCTTCTCGCTACTCACTACCCACTACTCACTACTTACTAAAATGTACGCGCTACTCACTACTGACACTACCCATTACCCACTACTCACTACGCACCACTCACGACTCACTGCGCACCACTCACTATCAAATACCCACTACTCACCAATCGCTACTCAAAACGCTCTACTTTCTACTCACTACCCGAGAGGCCCCCTCCCCAGCCCCCTGTTCGGCGCAAAGGGGGGAGGGGGGAGGGGGGTTCGACCCCCCCACCCCCTCTCCAGCGCCAAGGGAAGGAGGCGGGGGGGGTCCGGACCCCCCCCTTCCCTTTCAAGGGAGTGGGGGGGGGTTCGGAACCCCTCCCCCCCTGAAGGAGGGGGGGAGGGGGGGGGGGGGTCGAAGATCTCACCGCCCCTTTGAAGGGGGGAGGGGTTCTGCGAGCACCCCCCCCTTCTGTGTATTCAGGGCCATCCACTGGCGCGCTTTCAAAGATATGCGCACTGTAGTGCCCCACTTGAGACCAACTTCATAAGTGGACGCTTGTGCGGTGTGTTGTGTTTCGTGTTTTGCTTACTTGTATAATTTTCTGAAGCCCCCCCCCTCCTGGGCTCGCCTCTTCATGGGCTCGCCGCCCAAACCACTTTCTCCTCTCGTCGGCGGTCTGGGCTGGGAGGCCGGCCCAAAACTTATTCAAAGCACGCCACACATGGAATCACACTGCAAAACAAGACAGGAAGACGACGAGAGGTCGGTCTTAGGGGAGGCCGCGAGCATATGTACATGTATACATTCACACGTTATATGTATATATATATATATGTGTATGAATGTGTATATATATGTATGTGTGTGTGTGTGTCTGTCTGTCTGTCTGTCTGTCTGTCTGTCTGTCTGTCTGTCTCTGTCTGTCTCTGTCTGTCTCTGTCTGTCTCTGTCTGTCTCTGTCTGTCTCTGTCTGTCTCTGTCTGTCTCTGTCTGTCTTTCTGTCTGTCTGTCTGGCGGTCTGTCTGTCTGTCTGTCTCTCCATCTGGCTGGCTGGCTGGATGCCTGTCTGTCTGTCGGTTTGTGTCTGTCTGTCTGTCTGTCCGTCTGTATGTATGTATGTATGTATGTATGTGTATGTGTGTATGTATGTTTGTATGTATGTATGTACGTACGTACGTACGTGTGTATGTATGTATGTATGTACGTATGCATGCATGCATGCATGCATGTATGTATATGTATGTGTATGTGTATGTGTATGTGTATGTGTATGCGTATGTATATGTGCATGTGTATGTGTATGTGTATGTGTGTGTGTACGTGTACGTGTACGTGTATGTGTATGTGTATATGTATATGTATGTATGTATGTATGTATGTATGTATGTATGTATGTATGTGTGTGTATGTATGTATGAATGTATGTATGTATGTATGTATGTATGTATGTATTTATGTAACTATGTACGTATGAGTTCGTACACTTCTCACGGGCCCATGAAGCAACCAACTGGTCAGTGAAGCAGCCATGCCCGTTGCTAACCGTACCAAGGAGAAACGAAAACAATGCGGTGATACTGAAAAGGGGCAAGCTCAACCATTCGTAGTGTAGCTTCGTAGTGTGGACACACCGAAGGTCTGGGTTGAGCCTCGACATAGTGGCCACACGTTACGATGCAACGTTTGATCAGAGCGGTCTTCTGGGTCACATGACCTCGCGCATCGCGCCCCGCGATGTGCGACGCGCGGTTATCGTAAGCCTTGGAGAAGGGTGCATTTCCAACCCAAGCCGCGACGTGCGAAACCCGATTATCTCCGCGCCCCTGGAGGTGACCTACGTAGGTCTTCCCACCATCGTCCTGGCGCTGCCTCGTTCCATCCTCGTCACCTCCCCTCCTCCTCCCTCAACCACCCACCCTGCCCTCTGCTCTCTCCATGCTCTCCACCACACTGCCCGCTCCCTCCTCCCCCCGCTCCATCCCGTTCCTCCCTCCTTGTTCCTTCCTCCCTCCTCGTTCCTTCCTCGTTCCTTCCTCGTTCCTTCCTCGTTCCTCGTTCCTCCCTCCTTGTTCCTCCCTCCTTGTTCCTTCCTTGTTCCTTCCTTGTTCCTTCCTCGTTCCTTCCTCGTTACTCGTTCCTCCTTCCTCGCTCCTCGTTCCCGTTCCTTCCTCCTTGTTCCTTCCTCGTTCCTTCCTCGTTCCGTCCTTGTCCTCTGGAAGCTCGGCCGATGTGCGGCCCGCCGTCCGGCCTTCGAAGCTGAGGCGCAGTGAAAGAAGCAACGCCGACGAGCTACCCATCCCTCGTCATCGTGCAAGCCAGGAGCATCCCCCGCCGCGATGGGGCAAAAGGTAGCTGGTGGCCGCCAGGTCAAGCGGGAGGACGGCGTGAGGTACCCCCCCCCCAGATTGCCTTGAAAAAAGCGATCGGCGTGTGACGATCGTTTAGAGCAAACCGCGGTCTGCGCAGCGAGTAACAAAGAATCACTCAGAGCTGGAGAACACAAGCCTGGTCATCAAGCGTCCTGGCCGCTTGCCGATCAAGCTCTTAGCCTCGCTTTTTTACCGTACGATTTGACCAATACCCTGACCTCAGGCCTGGCCAGCCAATGCTCGATCAGGCTCCGTCACGGTATGAGATAGAGGATCTGATTGTGAAGGGACCGTAAATGTGAATCTGGGATGGGTAGTTGTTGCATTAGTGTCCGCGACGGACTGCACACGATATTGAACAAGCATTTACTCGGCAACCTGCGGTTGATCTTGAGCTTGGAGTGTCAATGAACGAAAATCTCTGGAACATCAATGTCCAAAGAAAACATAGAAACACTGCAAACCGTGCACCGAGGAGCGAAACACTGAAACTCCAACTGATACTCCCCTTCCCAAAATCTGTCAGCGCGATTTGCTCGCGAGTCTGCGGCCCAGCGATAATATGCATGTCATAGAGAAAGTGCATCCCTGTATTACGCCGCCTGCTTGTTGGACTGTCCTTCCAACTTCTGGATTCTACGTAGATGATTGTAGTAGCGCTGTGCGGCACACGGGTGACAAAGGCACCCCAACTCGTACAACTGAGGCCCCACCGCTGCGCTGACTACGATATGTTGCTGAGATAATGCAAGCCTGGTGATGAGATCTTCCATCACCGAGGTCATCATCAGCGAATGCTGAGGACCACAAACATGACGTACGTGCCAGAGACACCACGACCGTGTATTCCACGTTGGCGTGATCCCAGGACTCGCAACAAACAAAAAACGGAAGGCGGGCGCGCCTGGCGGTGTCCGCGGGCGCCATGCCGCGGAGGCCGCGCTGCCAGCGCCGCCGCCGGGGCGAGGGGAGGGGGGGGCGACCTCGGTCGACCCACGAGGGCGGGGGCGCACCAAGGAGGAAGGGGAGGGCGAACGCCGACCGAGTAGCCCTTCTCCCTCCCTCCCTCCCTCTTCTTCCTCCTCCTCCCTCCTCCTCCTCTTCCTGCTCTCTTGTTCTTGGGCACCCCACATCTCCTCCCATCTCCTCCAACCTCCTTCGATCTCCTCCTCCTCCTCGTCCTGCTACTGCTGTCTTTTCCTCCTCCTGCTCCTCCTGCTCCTCCGCATCGTCGTCATCATCTGGATCACCACCGCCACCATTACCACTACCACTACCATCACCATCACCATCATCACCGTCACCATCACTATTACCATCACCATGATCGCCATCACCACCATCACCATCACCGTCACCATCAGCATCACCAACATCATCACCATCGTCATCATCACCATCATCGTAAACGTCACAATCCTCATCGTCATGGTCATGATCATGCTAATCGTGATCATCGTCATCACCATCATCGTCGTCACATCATCATCACCACCACCAAAAACCATCACATTCACGATCACACCCATAACCACCATCATCAGCATAACCCTCCTCCTCATCATCCTCCTACTCCTCCTCATCATCAGCAGCAGTTGCATCAGCATCAGCATCAGCATCATCATCATCATCAGCAGCAGCAGCACCACCACCACCAGCATCATCACCATCAGCAGCGTCATCAGCGTTAGCATCAGCATCATCCCCCTCCTCCCTATCCTCCCTTGTCGCCTCACCTTCCTCTGCATCCTTATCCAAGTCCTCCTGCTCATCCTCCATGAGATACAATGTACCTCTGGTAAGCGTTTAGCTTCACTGGCTGGTATTGGGATGCACTCATCTCGCTGAGCCACAAAAGAGCGACAATTGGCAGCAGCTCAACAGAGAACTCCATCCGAAGAGATCAGCGGTTGCAGTCGATCTGTCCACATGTTGTATCTTTTTGCACCATCTGAGTGGGGTCTTTCTCCGTGGATGCCAAAGCACTCTTCCTCCTTCTCCTCCTCCTGCTTCTCCTCCTCCTGCTGCTCCTCCTCCTCCTCCTCCTCCTCTTGCTCCCGGCTCGTTCTCCTGCTGCCCCTCCCTCATCCTCCTCACCCTCCCCCTCTCCATCCGCCCCCACTCGCCATGACGGCGAGGGAAGGCGGAGGGATAGTGGGAGGAGGAGGAGGAGGGGTCGATCTTGGGCAGGGGCGGCAGGAGTCGATTTTGGGTGGGGAGGAGACAGTCCTTCCCCCCACATGGACTCCTGCTCCGCTGCTCCTTTGAACGATGCTTTGGTAAATTTCGGGATCTGGAGCAGCTGCATAGCTCTCCCGTAGAGAATATGCGAGCATGATTGCGAGCTTCGCTCTGCAGTCTCCAGAAATCCGCCGCCCCCTTGGGGATCACCGGCGTGTGAGATGCTTCCCCCTCCCCAAACCCCTCCCCCCGGAGCCTGGTCCGGTCGATTTGGAGGGGGGGGGGCCGTCCGGCCAAAGCTTACCAGGGGGGTCCGGCCCTTCCCCGGCTCATTTTGGAGGTCCACGGCCGCCCAAGAGGCCCCCAAGACGGTCCAAGAGGGCCCCGAGACGCCGAAAGATCGTTCCAAGACGCCTAACTTGGGCTGAAAGATCGCTCCAAGACGCCTAACATGGGCCGAAAACGGCCCAACAGGCCGCCAAGACGTTCCAAGAGGCCTCGCAGCAGGCCTCCAAGAGGCCCAAATCGTCAAACTCTCTCAATCAAGAAAACGTGCGTTTCTAGCACATATGCTCTTTCCGCCTTCACAGCGCGGAAGCCCTTCCAAGATGCCTCTAAGACCGCCCTAGGACGGCCGCCCAAAACGACCCAAAAGGGCTCCAAGACAGCCCCAAGAGGGGCCCGAAAGGGGGACCACGAAACGAACATTCCAGCCGTCCGCCCCTAGAGGCCCCCAAGAGGCCCCCAAGAGGCCACAGGAGGCCCTCAAAAGGCATCCAGACGCCCCCCAAAGGCCCCCAGGAGGCCCCAAGAGGCTCCCCAGAGGTCTCCAAGAGGCTCCCCAATCAGCTTCGATATGCGATGGTTCGGCCTTCACAGCGCGGAAGACCCTCCAAGATGCCTCCAAGACCGCCCTAAGACGGCCCCATAAGCTCCCAAACCGGAACGTACACTTCGAACCTTCGGCTCCGAAACGCCCCCAACGTGCCCCAGGGGCCCCCAGGAAGCCCCCAAGAAAAAAAAACGGGGTCGGCGGTGTGGCGTAAGCCTAAGAATCCACGTCCGGAAGTGACGTGTTGAGCGGCAGCGTTTTCCGCGGATGCTGTAATGCAGTGGGTCCAATGTGTCCAATGTTTGCATAATTCCCACATGCTGTATTGTGTTACATTATTATGTCTCCCCCCTAACCCCCCCTTGGGAGCTGCGCCGCAAGAACGGACCAAAGTGCCCCCCCCTCCCCCCTTTCCGGGGCTCAAAAACCGACCAAAACCTGGAGAAAATCTATGATTTCGACCTCTTGGGCCTCTTGGGGGGCCAAGAGGGCGCCAAGACGGCTCAAAATGGGCTTTGTGCGGGCCCAGACGGCCCCGAGACGGCCCAAGATGGCCCCAAGAGGGCCCAAGAAACCCCAACGACAGCCCAACAGGGCCCCAAGAGCGCCCACAACTGCGCATCCAGAGGCCAAAATCATTGTTTTCCCATATGATTTGGTCATATTTTAGCGTTCTCGCCTTGGCGGCCCAAGCAGCTTCCTAGATCGCTCCAGAACAACCCAAGAAACCCCCAAGACGGCCCCAATACGGCCCAACAAAACCCCAAGACGGCCCAAAGAGGCCCCCAAGACTGTCCAAGAGGCCCCTATGACGGCCCAAGAGGACCCCAAGACGGCCCCAAGGCGGCCGCGAGAGGCCCCCAAGACGGCCTCCGAAGGGGCGAAACAGCGCAAAAGCGCCCCAATACGGCCAAAAACGCCCCCAAGAGGCCCCAAGAGGCCCCCAAGAGGCCCCCAAGGGCCCCCAAAAAGGCTCCAAGAGGCCTCCAAGATGTCTTCAAGAAGCCTCCTAAAGGCTCCACAGAAGCCCCCCAAAGGCCACACAGCGACTGGAGTGCAATGTCATTTTTCCAACCTGGGCGAACTGCGGCGCAACGCCAGCCATGTGGAAGTTGGTCGCAGCGGCGCCCATGATTAGAGCCGGCGCTGGAAGGAAATATGGGGAGGGAGTATGAAAAGGAGGGAGGGGGTAGAGGCCCCAGAGAAGTCCCCAAGAGGCCCAAGGAAGCTCCCAGGAGGCCTCCAGGAGGCCCCCAAGAGGCTCCCAAGAGGCTCCGCGACGACGTGACTGTACGTGCTCCGGACGTGCACCCCGCGAAGCGAGAGGAATCTGAGCTCTGTCTGCTATTCGAACGATCTTCGGCAGTCTCATGCCAGCCTCCAGATGCCCCCGCCTCCCCGCTGCCCCCCTGGGGAGCGGGCCCCTCCCCCGGGGGGCACAGGCGGGAGCGTGGCACGCCTCGGCCAGCGCTCGCGTCCGCCGCCGCCGCCGCCGCCGCCGCCGCCGCCGCCGCCGCCGCCGCCGCCGCCGCCCCGCCGCCGCCGCCGCCGCCGCCGCCGCGTCGTCGTCCGTCGTCGTCGTCGTCGTCGTCGTCGTCGTCGTCGTCGTCGTCGTCGTCGTCGTCGTCGTCGTCGTCGTCGTCGTCGTCGTCGTCGTCGTCGTCGTCGTCGTCCGACCCAGGGCCCGCCAGAGCGGCGCGTCTAGGGCAGCGACCCCCCCGCCCACTAGGCCCCTATGTGCGCGACGTCGGGGCCACGGCGGCACCGGCCCTCCTCGGGGGCGGCCTGGGGGGCCAACGCAGGCGGCCAAGCAGACTCCGGCGGGGCCAAGACCCAGGCCCCCAGACATCCGATGTCCTGACCCTTTCGGTGCGGGGCGCGCGGAGCCCTGGACCGCTTGCCAGAGGCCGGTCTGTCGTCCCGCATTGTTCTCTGACGGCCCCAAGGACCAGCGAGGCCCCCCCCGGTGCCGACATCGGCGAAGAACCTCCGCACCGTTTTCTCTTAGTTGTCTTCACCAATCTGGACACGGAGATCTGGGTCGCCAGCCCTGGGGCTTGGCGCCGCACAGAGCGCGGCTGCTTTCGCGCCCTCGCGTCGCCCCCCCCTGGAGGAGGGTGGCTCTGCGGCCTGGACCCCGAGGACGGACGCAGCCAAGGCGCTGCCATATCGAGGCCTACGGGCTGTGCTTTGGCCTGGCCGGCGTCTGCTCCTTAGAGGGTACTGGCCCTACATCTATAGATAAGGCCCGCGCCCTCTAAAAACCAGGGCTGCTTCTAAGAAGTCATCCCCCCTTCCTCCGCCCCCTTCTGCGCGTGGCTGATGCAGGAGGAGGAAGAGGAGGAGGAGGAGGAGGAGGAGGAGGAGGAGGAGGAGGAGGAGGAGGAGGAGGATGAGGCCAGGAGGAGTGATGAGGCCCTGGTGGAGCAGGAAGGAGGACGAGGCGCCGAGCTCAGCTGCGCGCGGGAGGGAGGGGGCCCGCCCCCTGTGGTCCCCCCCTTCTTGGGAGGTGCAGATGGCTTCCAGAGCACCACATCACTCGGAGAATGGCGACTCGAGACACAGGAAACTCAAGATCTGCTCAGTGTCGGTCCCCAGACCCCTCCCTGGGTCCAAGCGCACCAGTTCGCCGAGCTGCGTCCCGCCGTGGAGACGAGGGCCCCCCCGAAGGACAACCGCCAGTGCCCCAAACGGCCCTCCCCTGACCTCACGTGGCCCCGGAGAGCCCCGGAGGCCGCGGCGTGGGGCGCAAAGCTGGGGACACCCTGGGCCAGGACCACCTCTGGCAGCACGCGACCTCCGCTCCCCGAGCCAGGTTGGGGGCCGCCGTGGCCTGGATCGGGAGCGGCCAAGATGGGGGTGTCCAAGAGGGGGGGGGCGTAAATCATGGCCGGCGGCATGTGCGCGGCCCAGCCGGGGGGCTGGGGACGTAATGAAACGAAAAGGGGCGCCATGAAATCTGGGGAGGTATCATGGCCCACGCCATGATATCCACCCCGGGGGGGCTGGGGACGTAATGAAATAAGAAGGGGCGCCATGAAATCTGGGGAGGTATCATGGCCCACGCCATGATATCCCCCCCCCCTCCCCTAGCCATCACCCCCCCTCTTTGCCGCCCCCGACCTGGGCAGGGGGGGCAAGCTTCGGTGGCGCGGGCCCGGGCCCGCGGGGGAGGGGGGGAGGGCGGGGAGGGGCCGGCCGCGCCCCCGCCTCGGCAGCGCGTGCGGGCGGGCGAGGAGGCGGGGGGGGGACGGGGCGGCGAGCAGAGGGCGGCGAAGACAAGCAGGAGGGGAGGAGGGGGCCGGGGGAGGAGGAGGAGGAGGAGGAGGAGGAGGAGGAGGAGGAGGAGCAGCAGCAGCAGCAGCAGCAGCAGCAGCAGCAGCAGCAGCAGGAGGGGGGGGAAAGGAGGGGGAGGATAGGGGAGTGAGGAGGAGGAAGAGAAGGAGGAGGAGGAGAGGAGGAGGAGGAGGAGGAGGAGGAGGAGGAGGAGGAGGAGGACGTGGAGCATGACTACCCACCAAACCGCCCCAACCTAACCCAAGGATCCGAATTTCGGGACACGGGTTCCACACGTGCTTTTTCGATGTTCCCCGACCCCCGCCCCCACTGGAAATGGAGGGCAAATCGGGGCCGTCGGGTTGGGTTGGGATAGTTTGGTGGGCGGTGAGAGCAGGAGGAGGAGGGGGACGAGGAGGAGGAGAAGGAGGAGGAGGAGGAGGGATAAGGGAACTCCCGGCTTTGGAGTCAGCCTTTCCACCTGCCCAGTCCAGCCCCTCGGCCGTCCTCGTTGCGCTCTGCTGCTGTCGCCGCTGCCGCAGCCGCTGCTCCTCCTCGTTGATGTCCTCGTCCTCGTCCTCAGTGTCGACTTCCTCCTCCTCCTCCTCCTCCCCCTCCTCCTCCTCCTCCTCCTCCTCCTCCTCCTCCGCATCTTCGCCGCCACCCCCGTCATCGTCGTTCTTGCAGTCGTCGTCGCGGCCACCATTTTCGTCACCGTTGTCGTATCGCCGTCATATTCCTCCTTGTCCTCATCCTCCTTCCCGTCTCGTTTTCTCGTCCCTCGTGCCTCGGGCCTCGCGCCCTTTTCCTCCTCCTCCCCCTCCTCCTCCTCCTCCTCCTCATCCTCCCGATCCTACTCATCATCATGCTCCTCTTTCTCATGCTCCTTCTGCTCGTCCTTCTCAACACCCACGCCGCCACCACCACCAACTCCGCCTCCACCACGTGTTTCCGTTGCTGCTGATGCGTCTCCCCCGCCTTACCGTCCTCCGGCCCACAAGGAATTGAATTGCAATGTCTGTCCGCACGCCTGAGGCCTGAAGGCGTGATCCGACAGTCGGGGTTGATTGGAGAGGGCTCGCGAGATGACACAAAACCCTTCCGACGGCCACATTGCCATAAGAATGTAAAGGCATCGGTCGCGAACACACAGGGCACAAGGGTACCCTTGATTTGGCAGGGTCGACCTACCAATCAACTTCGACTGCAGAACCCAAACCTCCAACGTTTCGAGAAACTGAATGCGGACTTTGTTTGCAATCTTCGGCCCCCCTCGCTGGCCCCCTGGGCCGTCAAAAAACGACGCAGGTTAAAGTGCCGGCCCTGGAGATCAGGTTCAGACTTCTGGGGGCCCGCAGAAACTCAAGACATCGGATGTGCTGCCATGCAGATCGTGGACTTGAGCCGCGCACTCCAGGAGGAGCACTGCATGCTGAAAGAGACATGCCACTGCGGGCCCGAAAATAGGGGAACAAAAAGTGACATAAACATAAAAACTCGGAGGTCCGCGCGGATTTCTCAGATCGGCGCTGGGGCCCCCTGGCGGCGCCTCCGGCGCCACCCCTGGCGCGCTCCGCGCGCCAAGGAGGGGGGTCCAGCGCCGATCCGAGAAATCCGCGCGGACCTCCGCGTTTTTATGTTTATGTGACTTCTTGTCCCCCTAGAAAAAGCACTGGGCGTACACCCGATGCACACTGCATGCTGCTGCTTCGTCACGGGCGGAATACGCCCAACGGCGCTTACTGGAACTGCTGCGCAACATGGACCCATGAATGGCCCGACCAGGTGTGCTCCACCAGGAAATTCCTCGTCCTCTTCGTGACGTTCCTTGTCCTCCTCCTCCGCCTCCTCGTCCTCGTTCTCCACCCTAATCGTATTTCTTCTTCTTCTCCTACTCCTCCTCCTCCTCTGCCTCCGCCTCCTCCTCCTCACCCGACCATGCCCCGCCGATCATCTACCATTATTCCTGTTTTTGTTTTGTTTGTTTCTCTCTCTCGCTCTCTCTGATAATGTTGCTCCCCTTCCTCCGCGAGGCAAGGCCCAGCAGCTCGCACAGCGAAATCCTGCCACATAATATGTGGCGCGACCTCCTCCTCCTCCTCCTCCTCCTCCTCCTCCTCCTCCTCGGCTGGTCGGTCGGAGCCTGATCTCTCGGGAGCTGCCCGTAACTTCTTCTCCTCCTCAACCTCCTCTTCCTCCTTCTCCTCCTTCTTCTTTTCGTCCTCCTCCTCCTCCTCCTCCTCCTCCTCCTCCTCGTCCTCCTCGGACGACGACGGCAATGGCGAGGGCGACAATGAGGACGACGGCGGGGACGAATGCAAGGACGACGACGACGACGACGACGACGACGACGACGACCACGACGACGACGACGGCGACGGCGACGGCGACGGCGACGGCGACGGCGACGGCGACGGCGACGGCGGCGGTGACGGCGACGGCGGCGGCGAGGATAACGACGATGGCGACGGCGAAGCGAACGACGACGGCCACGACGGCGACGCTGTTTGCGTAGCAGAAGCCGCGGCCGACAGCGCGCACGACGGCGCGCGATCGCCTTGGGCCCTGGCGCGCGGGGTCGGGCCGGCGGACAGCGCGCCCCGGAAGGCCTGGGGTCGAAGGGGCGGGGCCGCGCAGGACGGGGGAGGCGGAGGGGAGAGGGGGCGGGGAGGAGGAGGAAGAGGAAAAGGAGGAAGAGGAGGAGGCGGCGGAGGAGGAGGAGGACGCTGAAGGACGCTGATGATACGGCAGCTCGTCTGGTCTCGAACCGCCCTGGCGCGCGGGCAGGAGCGCCCACGCCAACGGCGAGCCGAGAGCCAAGCCCAATGGCCTAGCAGGAATGGCAGGCTGCCCGCAAGTACCCCTGCTGTCAGAGGCCAGCAGGAGCCATGGCAGGCAACCCGCGCCTCAGCACGAGCTCCACGGCTCGCCGGACGAAAAAAGGGGATCCAGCGCAGCGACGCGGAGCGCCGGCCCCAAACGCCTCCCGATGGAGGCCCAGAAAACCAGGCGGATCCAGCCACCACGACAAGAAAACCCCACCCGATGGCAGCGCGCAAAATTTCGAGGCGAACCCTGCCCCGGCGACAGGAGGCGACCAGGTCGCCAGCTCAGTCACACTCCCGAGCAATGAGGCGCCGCTGCGCCTCAGTCCAGGAACCAAATCTTTGAATCGGCGCCTCCTTGAGCTGCTCGTGCGAGAATGAGTCTAGGACCGGCTCGTCCTTACTGTCCTCGAACTTGTCCTGATTGTTGCGCTTCTTGCCCTTGCCCTTCATGCCCTTGCCATTGCCCTTGGGGAAGGTTTCACGTCGAGCTCTAGGTATCCAGCACCTTCGCTGCCAACGACGGTCGCCATGTCCACCACCTCGGCGTCCCCGAAGTCCTCGATCAGGCTTTCGACGCCACTGTGATTGCCATCGGCCCACCAGCGCTTGACCCCGTCGTCGTCGGCGTAGTGGCAGGAACTGCCGTCCGCCCGCCAGCCCAAGAGCTCTTCCTCTGCCACCGCCTCTTCTTGGCGGTCGGCTGGGCTGCGAGCTCCGTCTCCTGGTGGTGCTTGTCCTCCTTTTCCTTGTCCTTGACACTCTTCTTGTCCTTGTTCGAGGGAGCAGACGTCGCCGAGCTGTCTGCCTCGAGGTCCTCGGGCCAGATCTGTCTCAGCTCCTCCTTCTGCTCCCTCTGCCTCAGTAAAGTTGCCCGTGGTGCCAGGTTCCGGCATTGCCTGCGCTCCTGGCGGAAGCCGAAGTTGGTGAAGTCGCACGCCTCGCACTTCCACTTCCCCACGTAGTTGAATAGAGTCGCCAATGATTGCCTGGTCGGTCGCCATGGCACTTTTGTTTTCTGCTTGCTCCTCCATGCCTTCGCGAGGATCTGGAGGCCCCCCAGGGAGGGCTTCCAAGGCGGCCACACCTTGAGCTTCGCCTGCGAAGCCTCCTCCATCGGCGGGCCTTTGGGCTGCGGTTCCATGTCCAGGCTCGTTGCGTCCATGTGCTTCGCGCCCACCCTGAATACCGACTTCAGCTTGAGCCCATGGACGGCCAGGTGCCCAGCAGGTCCGCGTCGAGGGTAAAGTCCTACTGCTCCTGCTCGGTCATCTTCAGGAAGTCCTGCCATGAAAGATCCGACGAGATGGCCGCACCTTGCAGCCCTTCCTGGTCCATTTTCATCTTGGCAACCTCCTCCTCCTGCTGTGCCATCCGGGAGTTCTGGAAAAAGGGGGCCGAAGAGAGGGCCTGCGCGTTCAGCCTCTCCTGCTCGAATTTCTCCCTGTTGACCTTCCTTTCCGCATGCGTGAGCGTACCTTGGCTGTGATGCGTTTCGCCCTCGGCTCTGCGGGGCGCACCTTCACCTCCACGCCAACCGACGCCTGCCCCTTCTCTGAAGCCGTGCCACCAAGGCAGGTGTCCGCAATGTCCTTGATCAAACAAGATGAGGTGGACTTCACCTGCGCAGGTCTTCTCGAAACTCGCAATCGCGGAGCCAACTCCCCCAAGGAGCTCCGTGGAAACCCACAACACGACCATTAGACTGCCATCGCGCGCGCGTGGCGCCGAGGCTCGGGTGGGCTGCGCCCCTTCGAATCGCGCCAACCTCAACCCCCTTGGGCGAAAGGGCTGAGGAGGAGGAGGAGGAGGAGGAGGAGGAGGAGGAGGAGGAGGAGGAGGAGGAGGAGGAGGAATCCCACCAGCCCTTTGGGCGTGAGTGGTTTAGCGAGCTCTCTCTGTTCTCAACCCCCCTTCTTCCCCTTCGGGGAAGGGTTTACCCCTCCCCCTACCCCCTCCCCCTGGACCTGGAGAGGGGGTCCGGCGGGTCGTCAGGGGGGTCAATTTCGACTCCTGGGAGGGCTAAAAAACGACACCCCTCACGAGGATTCTGCCCCCGACGGGGGGACGCCGAAAAAACCCTTTCCTCTTCTGTGAAGCCAAAATCATTGATTTTACTACGGTTTCGGCCCCATTTTGGCCTTCTGAGGGGGCAGCGCTCCTCTTCCTTGTTCTCAAAATCATTGATTTTACGAAGGTGTTGGGCTCATTTTGTCCTTCTCAGGGGGTAGCGCTCACTTGCGCTTCTGAGGAGGTCGCAAGAGGCCCCAAGATGGCCCCAAGATGCCCCCAGGAGGCTCCCAAGAGGCCTCCAAGAGGCCCCCAAGAGGCCCCCAAGAGGCCCCCAGAGGCTCCCCACAGGCCCCCAAGAGGCCCCCAAGAGGCCCCAAGAGGCCCCAAGAGGCCCCCAAGAGGCCCCCCCAAGAGGCCCCCAAGAGGCCCCAAGAGGCCCCAAGAGGCCCCCAAGAGGCCCCACGAGGAGCCCGAACGACTCACACCAGGACGAGGGGCCCGAACGACTCACACCACGAAGAGCCCGAACGACTCGCACCACAAGGAGGGGCCCGAACGACTCATACCAGGACGAGGCGCCCGACCGACTCACACCACGAGGAGCCCGAACGACTCACACCACGACGCGGGCCTCGAACCCGAACGAGTCACACCAGAAGGAGTCACACCAGGAGGAGGGGCCCGAACGACTCACACCAGGATGAGGGGCCCGAACAACTCACACCACGAGAAGCCCGAACGACTCACACCAGGACGAAGAGCCCGAACGACTCACACCACGAAGAGCCCGAACGACTCACACCAGGAAGAAGGGCCCGAACGACTCACACCAGGACGAGAAACCCCAAACGACTCAAATCACGAGGAGCGCTTTCTCTCCCTCCTCCTCCGCCTCGTCCTTCTCCCGCTCCCCCCACAAGGAGGATGTACAAGGAGGCGGGAGGAAGGAGGAACAGGGGAGATATGCGGGGCCAAGCGGACACACGCCTGAAAAACACGAGTGTCGGCATGCTTCGAAAGAGTTGCTGCTGTGAGATGGGCTGGTGGGGATACGCGAAGCGTAAAGAATTGGGGGAGGGGGGGGAAGAGGAGGAGGAGGAAGAGGAGGAGGACGAGGAGGAGGAGGAGAAGGAGGAGGATCGGTGTAAACCCAAGAGTCATCAACGACGTTAGAAGTAACCCTCCCTCCAAGCTCCGTCTTCGTAGGCCCCTACAACAGTTCATTCCCATTGAAAGAACTGCCTCGTTGGAAGACAACCGTCTGAAGACCTTGAAGCATGCCAGAACATTGTTCTCGGGATTCCAAGCCACGGACCAACCTGACTGTTGCGTCGTGACGATCCAGAACCGTGCCAGAACGCCATGTTGGGGACTTCCACACCGCGAAGTAATGTAACGGTTGCACCCGCATGCTCCTGAATCCTTCCACTGGTACGTTGATCATGGGAGCCCGTGAAACTCTTGCACGTGTTGTAAACACATGCGCGCGGCGCTAAGGCGAGAGCCACATGTTGAAAAGGAACCACCCTCAATCCGCGAAGCTCTTGCAACTTTTGAAAACCAATGTGCGGCACGGCGCTAAAGCGAGAGCCGCATGTTGAAAACGACTCGCCCCCAATCCGCGAAATTCGTGTAACTTGTTTTAACGAATGCGCGCGGCGCTAAAGCGAGAGATGCGTTTTGAAAACGAACCGCCCTCCAGCTGTGAAGCTGTTGTCAGTTTTAAGCTTCAGAATCATAAATGAGAAGGAAGTCTCAGGCGAAACGCCCGGCTCGCCGTAAAAACTAGCCTCGGGGTGCGACAGGGAGAAAAAGGAATGGAGGAGGAGGAGGAGGAAGAGGAGGAGGAGGAGGACCACTGTAAACCCAAGGGTCACCAGCGATCTTGGAATAAGCCCTCCCCCCAAACTCCCAAGCTTCCTCGTCATAGGCCTCTACAGCGGTTCGTTTCCATTGAGTAAATGGTGAGAAAGTCTCAGGCGAAACGCCTGGCTCGCCCTGAAAACTTGCCCCGGGGTGCGACAGGGAGAAGTTATGTCAGGGAGAAAATGTATAAGGGACAAACATGGAGGAGGAGGAGGAGGAGGAGGAGGAGGAGAAAGAGGAGGAGGAGGAGGAGAAAGAGGAGGATGGGGAGGATGGGGACGACAGGAGGAGGAGGAGGAGGAGGACCAGTGTAAACCCAAGAATCATCAACGATGTTGGAATTCACCCTCCCTTATGTTCATTTCCATTGAAAGAACTGCGTCGCTGGAAAACAACAATTGGAAGATCCTGAAGCGTGCCAACAAAAATGTTCTCGGGATTCCAACGCCACGGATCAACCTGGCTGTTGCGTCTTGACGATCCTGAGTCATGCCAGAACGTCATTCCTGGGACTTCGACATTGCGAACCATCGTAACTGTTGCGACCTCAAAACACCATGTCTGGTACGTCGAGCATGGGAATCCGTCAAAGGGTTGTAATCTGTTTAGCACGAGTGTGCGCGGCGCTATGGCGAGAGCCACATTTTGAAAAGGAGCCGCCCTCAGTCCGTGAAGCCCATGCAAAGATTTGGAGACGAATACGCGCGGCGCTAAGGCGAGAGCCATAATTTGAAAACCACCCGCCCTCATTCCGTGAAGCTCTTACCAATGTTGAAAACGAATGTGCACGGCGCTAAAGCGAGAACCAAATGTTTAAAACCACCCGCCCTCAACCCGTGACATTCTGCAACATTGTGACAACGAATGTGCGCGGCCTTAAAGCGATAACCACAAATTGAAAACCACCCGCCCTCAATCCGTGAAGCTCTTACAAAGTTTGAAAATGAATGCGCGCGGCGCTAAGGCGAGTGCCACATTTTGAAGACCACCAGCCCTCAATCCGTGGAGCTCTTGCAATTTGTTAAACCGAATGTGCGCGGCGCTAAGGCGAGAGCCGCATTTTGAAAACGACCCGCCCCCAATCTGTGGAACTCGTGCAGTTTTTTTTGTAATGAATGTGCGCGGCGCTGAGGCGAGAGCCACATTTTTGAAAACGACCCGCCCTCCATCTATGAAGCTGTTGTCAATTTTAAGCTTCAGAATCATGAGTGGTGAAGAAGTCTCAAGCGAAACGCCTGGCCCGCCCTGAAAACTTGCCTCAGGGTGCGACAGGGAGATATTATGTATAAGGAAAAGAAATAGAGGAGGAGGAGGAGGAGGAGGAGGAGGAGGAGGAGGCGGAGGGGGAAGGAGGGGAGGGGGCAGAGCAGGGGGGGGGGGGGGCGGGGAGGGGGGAGGGGGGGGGAGGGGGGGCGGAGGCGGGGGGCGGAGGCGGGGGCGGAGGCGGGGGATGCGGAGGGGTGGGCGAGGAGGGAGGAGGAGGGGCGGGGACGGGGGCGAGGAATCGCTGAGACTTATTCCTGGCCGTGCTCCACTTCCCTCAAAAAGAGCGCCCAAACTCAAAGGCAAACATCGAAAAAGGAGCGCGCGGCGTGGAGCAAGTCTTCCTCCACGACGCGCGCGAAAGTCCGCTGCTGCGATCGCTGGGATGCAGTCGCTTCGCGGCCTGGCCCACAACATGGCGTGCCAGGGCAGCGCGCGGCGTAGCCCAGCACTGAAATTGTGACACAAGAGCAGCGCACGGCACCATCGCTCAACATGCCACAAAGGCACGCAACACAGCAAACACAGGCGCAGCAGTGATCAGCATTGCGCGCAGTGGCCTCAACCGACGGGCTGGACCATATTCCCGCATGCAAGAGCGTCGCGATGAGAATCGTCGAACGGCACGGCCGGCCTGGAGGCGCCGTTGGGGAGGGGGCCCGTTCCAAATTGCCCATGTTCCGAAAAAGTCGGATGCTCGGGGAATGGGCAAGTTGCTACGCAAGGGAAGCGCCACAAAGCATGTCACAAACACTTGCCACCAAAAAGCGAACCGCGCGACAGAACAATTGCCATGACAACTCGCGGCAAACAGATGGCCACGAAAGCTGCCACCAAAACTGCGCCAAGCATGCAGCGACAACACTGTCCACAAAATTGCCGCGCAACTGCGCTGCAAAAAACGAGCGGCCAAGTACGGCAACAACATGCGCAAAACAACTCACCGACAAAGCACACCAAATAGGTCCCTCGACCTTCGCCGCGCGCGTACCCGCACAAGGAAAACCATAATGCTGTCCTTTT